ATGTTCTCCGCCACACTTTCTCAATAGGAGACCAACAAACTGGTTTGTCTCCTATTGAGATCAACCCTTAAGCCTACAAAGGGATGCATGGCTCCCACAAACTAATGTGGCTCATCCTAAACACATAGATGTTAGGTCTCAAAACGGGTTTGTGACTAAACAAGGTGGGGACAAATGCAGCTCTCTTCAACATCCACCAAGAACAAACTCCACAAAAAACTAGTTCTAAACAGCAGAACAAAAAACTTTGCGTGATAATCCCCAAAATCTTAACTACGATGCTAAATACCAACGGCACTTTTATCTTCACATCTAACAAGCATGCACCAAGACTCATTTTAGCATTCACTAACCACAAACCACATTGTTCACAAACGTACCCACCAACTATTTCTCATTTGCCACAGAAGGCAAGATTCAACATTACCAAATGGGTTTGGATCCTTGACTTGACTTTGTCACAAATTGGGTCAGGGAATGTGATGTTTAAATGATTTACAGTCAGCTAGTTTTAACTACTAAATATAGCTACAGTTAGCTAGCTAGCTAGCTAGCATAAAGCTAGCTAACTATATATGAACCAGTTAAAACTGTTTTATATACATTTAGCTAGTTTTAACTGCTTTATAAACAGTTAGCTAGTTTAACTACTTTATATACAGTTAGCTAGTTTAACTGCTTTATATACAGTTAGCTTGTTTTAACTGCTTTATATACAGTTAGCTAGTTTAACTGCTTTATATACAGTTAGTTTAACTGCTTTATATACAGTTATCTTGTTTTAACTGCTTTATATACAGTTATCTTGTTTTAACTGCTTTATATACAGTTAGCTAGTTTAACTGCTTTATATACAGTTAGCTAGTTTAACTGCTTTATATACAGTTAGTTTAACTGCTTTATATACAGTTAGCTAGTTTAACTGCTTTATATACAGTTAGCTAGTTTAACTGCTTTATATACAGTTAGCTAGTTTAACTGCTTTATATACAGTTAGCTAGTTTAACTGCTTTATATACAGTTAGTTTAACTGCTTTATATACAGTTAGCTAGTTTAACTGCTTTATATACAGTTAGTTTAACTGCTTTATATACAGTTAGCTAGTTTAACTGCTTTATATACAGTTAGTTTAACTGCTTTATATACAGTTAGCTAGTTTAACTGCTTTATATACAGTTAGTTTAACTGCTTTATATACAGTTAGCTAGTTTAACTACTTTATATACAGTTAGTTTAACTGCTTTATATACAGTTAGCTAGTTTAACTGCTTTATATACAGTTATCTTGTTTTAACTGCTTTATATACAGTTAGTTTAACTGCTTTATATACAGTTAGCTAGTTTAACTGCTTTATATACAGTTAGCTAGTTTAACTGCTTTATATACAGTTAGTTTAACTGCTTTATATACAGTTAGCTAGTTTAACGGCTTTATATACAGTTAGTTTAACTGCTTTATATACAGTTAGTTTAACTGCTTTATATACAGTTAGCTAGTTTAACTACTTTATATACAGTTAGTTTAACTGCTTTATATACAGTTAGCTAGTTTAACTACTTTAAATACAGTTAGCTAGTTTGAATTACTTTATATACAGTTAGCTAGTTTAACTGCTTTATATACAGTTAGCTTGTTTGAATTACTTTATATACAGTTAGCTAGTTTTAACTACTTTATATACAGTTAGCTTGTTTGAATTACTTTATATACAGTCAGCCAGTTTTAACTACTTGATATACAGTTAGCTAGTTTTATCACATCATCCTCTCATGTAAGTGAAAGTTATGATGTCACATACGCGACTTTTGGGTTTGTGGTCTTTGTAACTACGCATTTTCACAGTCTTATATCTCAACAGTTTTCCATCAAACTACGACCTTCTTTAATTTAAAATGTATCTTTTAAATTGACAAAGATCATATGTGTAATTCAGGGCACAATTCAAATTCACCACATAAATATGAAATGAAAGCATGTGAAAAGAGGAAATGTCTCTTTGGTGACAGTGATAAAAGCTCAGAGACATCAGAAACATGACTTTATAAATGCTAGCGATAGTGGTGATTTTATAAGTGGAGGAAAACGGTAATATTTCTCATTGAAATGTTTTGGACAATTTGTACTTAGCTATGTTGCACCACTGCATTTTAAATGTGGTGGTTATGATAAGAAATACTGTAGGCCGTTGAATAAGATGCAGCTGGCCAACATATAGATTTGAGGAATCTGTCTGAATATGGACAGTGTGGTTTATCCTCCCCCCGCCTGTATTGATCCCCCTCTCTGAGCTGTATTGTACCTCCTCAGCATCACATACATTACAGCAGGAGCACAGAATAGATGGCAGAACAATGTATTTAAAGGCATTACACTCGAACTAATGGCAAGTCTTAGAGAGAGCCTCGGCCATTTACCCTCGTGAGTGGTCAGACTGCTCAGTTCCCAGCACAGCGTGATTTAAAATGATGTCCTCTGTGGACTACATTCACTTGGATTTAATTTGGAAATGTATTCATATTTACTTAGGTTACCTGCATTGCATTTGTATAGATCACTTGAGGGTAAAAGTAAAATTGAGCAAATTGAATCAACATATTGGGACATACGGGGTAGTTGTATGGAGTCCAGAGTCGGGGTCACTCCAATGCCTTTTATGATGTCCCTCTGAAATCTATCTGAATCACATTAAATTGGATATAAAGATGTGCAGACACATACATCACAGTAAATGGTGTGGTGGAGCATCGCTCGCCAAGAATCCCACCTCAACAATCGGGTTATAGAATCGGCTTTAGATCCTATTAATAATTCACAATCTTGTTAGGGGAGAACAAACATTTCTGTTCAAGCAATTTGAGTTGCGGGATTGTTATTATAGCCGGGAGCTGGAGGCGGCCTCAGTGTGAGAGACAGAGAGGCTGTGAAATGTAAGCTTTGCTGTGTGTGGAAGAATAACTCCATGCTATTTCACAGTCTCTGCTTTCTTTATTAAAGCACCGTCACAGTAAACATGTCTCGCCACGACTCAGCTGTGCAGCCGTTTACTGCAATTCTTCTTTCTCATCCACTGCCTCCATTAAACTCGAGGAGGAAGAGGTTTTTATTTTTTATTATCAAGGACATACGCTGCCCTTACACAACCTTGATAATCAGGTGAAGACTTCCAACCAAAAGTGTTTTAGGGCCAACAATTCTTTTCATTATTGATTGATCTGAAAAAACTATTTTCTCGATTAATGCACTGTGAAATATCAGAAAATCATGAAAAATGTCCGACAAGATGTCTTAGAGTGTCTTGTTTTGTCTCACAAACAGACTTCGATGAACTCTCAGACAGTTCAGGTCCATTTTTAAACATTAAAATGGTTCCACACTGCTAATAAGGTTCAATGTTTATGTGTGTAAATGCATTAACGTCCATGCACCAAACTATTTTCAGATATGTGAGGGTACAGAGACCCTCAGTTATGATTTATAATAGTAGACAAAGTTTTGATTCCCTTCTGATCCGTTTCTTTTGGATCTAAACCCTTTAACTGTGTGTGGGCCAACACAGCAGACCAGACGATGAAAGAATCTATTAGAGCTTTTAAAAACAGAAATAAAACATAAAATGTTAAGTAGTTTCTTTATTTGCACATACAATTATTAGACAACAGCATAAAACCAGGGAACAGAATAAAACAGAGGTGACAGTTAAGAAGCCACAGACGGATCTCCCTTACAATCGCAATCAATTTAATTGATGTTGTTCTTGTTTGTATTTGTTTTATATTTTCTTTGTCTTTGTTGTGTGAATATTATAACTGTTAATAATAATAAACCAGCTGTATTTATTTCAGCATTCTTGCTTATACAGTTGACTCGAACGATTAATCGATTATTAGAACAGTTGCTGTTGATCAACTAATAAATGAATGGACTGATGGGTTCAGCTCTGCAGTATCGTACTAAATTGCTTTCTTTCAGTTTTCAGTATGCTGTTAATTCAAAAAGTCAAACTGACACTAACACACATGTTTGGTCCTCAGAAAACAAACACCTCATGTAATATTTAATAACCAGGTGAGCAGCTCTGAGACTGAACGGCTGAAGACTTAAACTGCATGTGTTTTTACTAACTTCTGCAGAAATAACACGTTTTTCTTGTTAAAATCTTTGGCTGTTTTGATTAGAATTTTTTTTAGATTTCACATATTTATTTATTTTTAGACTCTGCTGTGAAAATTGAGCCTCAGCGATCTTAAGATGCTGTTGTTACATGAAAAATAAAATCAACTCATGTGGAAGAAACTGTGATTGTAAATGTGATTATTGTCTTAACAAAGTGAGATGATATAAATAACTCTGTGTTACTGTGAAATATATCTGGATCTCTACCTGAATGTAGCATTTACAACACAGTGCAGTACACTGAGGTGTTCTGTATTTGTTATGGTAATTTGGGGCTTTAGGAGGTAATACTGTGTGTATATATGTGTGTGTGCATATATATATATGTATATATATATGTATATATATATATATGGGTGTGTAAGTGTGTATTAACTCCTCTGCTTGGATCGTTATTTTTGTATTCCTTTGCCTTTTATTCACTTTATTTCTTTATTTACATTTTGAACATTCAGTCGGTTCCAATTTGGTAAATATAAAAAATATAAATATAAAAAAATCTCATGAAGTTTTCTGTTCAAATAACCCGGGGAACATTTAAGCACACATTTATTCCTTCTTTTCTCTTTCCTTCTTTTCTTTTATGATTCTTTTCATGATGATTGCTGTTTCTGTCTCTTCTCTGAGTTTTGTTGACTGGTTATCACATTATTTTGTGCTGTAACGTGATGTTAGTTGGTGCTGCGTTTCCTTTAAATGTTGAAACAAACACTTTATAAAAATCACTGTGGGAACTTATATATATATATATATATATATATATATATATATATATATATATAAGAAATGGAAACATCTGTGTGGTGGGTGATCGGAGGACACAAGTAGGCCACGATTGATTTTATTGATTCATTTAAAGGTTTGTCTTCACCTCCCATTGTTCTTTTTCTTCATGTTTTCTCTCTTATTTACTTTCTATTTGATCTTTGCCTTCACTTATTTTTCACAACATGCAACATGTACCACCTTCTGCACGCTGCATCTTATCCTGCACAGCTCGCTCTAACTATGCTGCGCTCATGTGATAACAGTCTGTCAGTTTATACCGCATCAGTAAAAAATAAAATAACAAAAATACACAAACGTGATGTGAACATAAATGTGCTTGCAGATGATTTTTTTTTGTGAGTAATATTTTTTTATGTCAACAGAGATTCGCAGGTAAAAGAGCAAGAAAATACATGTGGTTTAAAAAATATAAACATTTAAAACATTTGCTCATACAGCATGTGGTCAGCGTTTGGTTTTCAGTTCAGCACACAGCTCTGTGTGAAAACATCTTGTAACAGTCTTCAGCAGTGAGCCAGGAGGAGGAGGATAAACAGGATTGGTGGTCCTGTGCTGCCTCCTGCTGGTGGAAATACACTCCTACACTCTCAGCGCTGGAGTCAGACTTTAGATAAAAACTGTGCAATAAGACTTTCACAGTGATCTTCTGTGTTTAAGGTCTCCTGGAGGTTCTGCTTTCTGAACACACATCCAGTTCACATTTCAGTGGGTAGCTAACGATCATCAGAGTCCGGCATCACTGCTCCTCTGTGTTTTCACTACAAGCTCTCAGAGAGCCGTTCTGTCCAACAATGATGCTGCTGTACATCTTCTGCTGCTCCTGCTTATACGAATCCTTCACTTTCTGTCTTTTCAGTCCTCCGTCCCTGCAAGACGAAAATAACACATCAAACTCTGAATAATCAGGACGAGCAGATGAGTCTGAAAAGTAAAGCTGCAAAACAACACTGTGAAAACACTGCAAGTATTCTACAGTGTGTACTTTAACCATCAAAGTACTCATTATGAAGAACAATGTTGTACATTTTAGAACAGGATTATTATTGCAGATGTATTAACATGTAAGATGCATTTTAATGTTGGCAGGTGAAGCTCATGCAGGTGTGTTTTCAGGCCACAGGATGGAGGCTACATGTGAGGAAATATAAGTTAAAGAGCAACAGGATCTCTGATTGACTGAGTTATGAAAAAATATACTTAATAAGGATTACTGAAACACTGGACTGGAGCTGCTGTAACGTTCAAGACAGAAACAGCCGTATTGAAGCAGGAGATGAAGATCCAGTAAAATAATTTTGTTATGCATCTTTACATTTCCTTCTCTCACTCTCTGCTCTCTTCCTTCTTGCTATATTCTCTTTGTCCTTAATTAATAAGGACAAACACAATGAGACTGTTGAGTAGTTAAAAAAGGCCTCAGGTCCTTGTTGAAGATCCTGCCTAAAAATGGGTTGGATATTTTAAACAGCGTATCTCTAAGTAAGACGGTGTTTCAGAAGGTAAAAGAACGTGAGCTGCAGAGGAGACCAAACCTAATTCTTTAAATATGATTCATCTCTGTTATTTAGTTAAAATATATCCTACATAACATTATAGTTTTAAACAATTTAACGTGTGTCAGAGGGACGCTTGAATTAAGTTAAGTAATTCATTGTAGTAAAAAGAACAATATTCTATATATAAAGTATTGTACTTAAAATCAGTACTTGGTTATTTCAGGGGAAAACCTTTGGATACAGTTGAAGGCGGACTGGAAACCCTAAAGTAAACTAAATTCTGAAGTAACTCTCATGATTAATGATGCAGAAACTGAAAGAGAGTATGAAAACAAATTCTTTTGAGTGATAATAGATCATAAACTCAAACCTGACGTAAATCTTTATCAAATCAAAACTAAAAAGTCTAAATCCACTGCAATACTGCACAAAACCAAAGTCATCTTGAATCCGGCCCACATATTACTGTGTATTATTGACTGGAAAAAACTAAATTAAACTTTCCACCACTGATGATGAGTGAAGTGTACTGTGGGTGTTCAGTGACCCGGCTCACCATGCCAGGTCCAGCAGGCCTCCCTGATGAGCGATGGCAGATTTCACTCTGTTGGCAAACTGAGCTGCATCCTCACCGTCCTGCTCACAACACACACACACAATACACACAGAGTACATGTTGGTACGCAGGAAGCTGCTCATTCGGAGCGTGTTGTCATATTCAATAAAACGGTACTTCATGCAGGTTTACGTCTTTAACTTCTAAAGAAGCAACAGGTGGGATATATTGTAGTTATAGTAAAGTACTGTAAGTAATGTGTGTTAAAAGCCGGGCTGGATGTTTGCTCTGCAGAGACGCCTTCAAGTCACTAAAGTTTAATTTCTTTGGTCATAAGACTGACTTCTAGTCTAAAACAACAGTGTGGTTCATCGGACGTCTCCAGTCAGCTGATGATATTCTGATTAGTGCACAATGTTGTGGAATAGATAAACAAAAATGCACAAAGACAGACGTGACCGCCAACAACAGTGAACGCGAGATTACGTCCACAAATGTCACATAAGAACTAAAATGTTCAGTATATTTAATAATTCACATCCTAAAGTTTGATGGTGAATAAGCTGTGTGGTAAACGTTTCTGTCCCTCCTGACAGATGATGTTGCAGGTCCAGGCGTTACCTGTCGGCTCATGGGAGGGAGGTACCACACATTGACCACGATGGCCCAGCTGGTCATCATCCGCAGCAGGTAACTGACCATGTTGTATTTGGCGCTGTTCCAGAAAGCGTCGCCAAACCGAGGGTCGTACTGCAACACAGAGCTGGAGTTAACTGAGGGGAACTTGGTTCACACCTAACATGTTCTGACAGACTCTGATGTGTTTGATTATGTGAGAAAACTGTTCATTTAGGATTTAGGATGACTTCAAATGAAACTACTATACTATCACACAGTGGATCGACGGCGCAGGTTAAATGTACACGGAACAGTGGACACGAGTCGCCTCTATCCGACTTGTAGCCCCGCCCTAAAGCCTCCCCCGCTTTCTGGTCTCTATTCCTCTAAACGGGACCATAATTTACTAAATGAAGATCAAGCTGAGAAGAAGAAACATTTTCTCATAGACTTCGATAGAATCACACTTCTTTCTGTCGCCCCCTGCTGGCTGCTGGACAGAAGGCTTGAGGTTTTTCCGCATTGGCTTCACTCTGCTTGGTTGGGAGCGGGAACGTGTTGACGTGACGGTGACGGACTGATCTGTTTATGAACCTAAATATATTGAAACCAATCTCGAGTCCAGTGCACGTCTAACTGTGATCATTGCCTTTACCTTGATTGTGACGGGGTAAATTGTTCCCCCGATTTCAAAGCTTCCCTTCTTGAACATCATGACTGAGGTGTTGTTGATGCAGGTTCCTGTTAAAAACAGACAGACAGGAGTCATCTGACGGTAAAACCACCGTCCTTACATCACGAGCTACAGCGAGGCAGACTCTGACCTTCAGGAAATATCAGGATGGGAAGTTTGGTCTTCGCTGCGACGTGAGCTCTCAGCCTGCCGACAGAGGAACAGATGTGGTTAGTCACACGGGAGGATGATGACACTGATCTTAACTCTGGCGAGTTGAGTTCTGTTGTTTCCTGTTTTATTTTGAAGTTTTCTGCCTCTTGTATCTTCTCTAAACTTTGCTTCCTTGCTGGTGTCTCCTCGATTGTCTGAATTTGTTCCTCCTGTACCTCGTTTATCACCTTCCTCTTTTATAGTCTGTATCTTTTCATTGTTTAGTGTCGCTTCATCCTTGTTTATTGATGAGTCTCTGCCTGGTGTGACTGGATTATTGCAGTTATTTTTGGATAGTAGATTTCACTGTATTTCCACCGTCGCTCTAAGTTGCCTCACCTTATTAATAAACATCACACATAAACAACCTTAGTGTCTGCGTTTGGATGCAAATGCTTTGTTTCCTGTGTCTGCGCTCGGCAACAGGTGACATTTTGAGAGACCCATAACACAAAACTCAGCCCTAGACGCTACTACATCCCTTTAAGGTATCGGTAACAGAAATAGCCCAGTCCCGAGTAGTATAGAAAGTTCCCCAGTCAAATGAGTACTGCATTCGATCCTTCTTTAAAAGAGAAGAAAGAGAAGGGCACGCTTCTTTTTTCTTGCTTATGTGCCCCCCGCAGATTGTAAGCCAAGCCCATGAGTGTTTTTAACAGCTCTCAGGCGGTTCGTTACTGTTACAAGTTTATCACCACAAGTTTCCCTTTGTTTCATCTTCTGATATGCTTTAACACTACTCGCCATTCACATCAATCATTGTCATATCAATTCAACCTTTTTGTGGCACGGAGGACATTATCCAGATGTGATCAGTGTGATCAGCTGGATGTAAAGGCTTTCTGTTCTTCGCTTCTAGTGACATGTTTAAGCCGACTCCTAACTCGTTTTCTACTTCTTACTGTTGACTTTTTGGAAGACATTTGTCACTCACCACTAAAATAAAAAGCCGAGCCCTCTTAATTCAATTCTTCAACGTTTATTGATCCAAAGTTAACAAAATAATTCTCTGTGGTTTAATTTCAACTTATTCTCACTCCTCCTCTCTTATTCAAATACAAATACAATTCACGTCGATCAATTCTGACTAAACTGTCTCGTTTGCCTTCGTGTGTCCACAGACACAGTAAATTTAGAATATGAGTGTTGCACATTTTCTCCGTTAACCCCTGACCAAACATGTCTCACTGACATGTTGCACTGTTCAACAGCATGTTCCTTTACAGCTGCAGGCGGGTTTGTACAGTGTAGCTGTAGCTTATCATGTGCTGCACACCGAGGCAAACTGCGTGTGAAGTAAGCAGCTCTAAAAAAAGCAGCTGAAGACACTGTGATCAGTTCTGCGGTCAGAACGACGGGTTAACTGGATGTAATGTGAGAACAAACTAAAGTACAGAAGGCTGCCGGCTGACTAATGCTCTCTACACAACGGAAGAAATGTCTTATGTAAAATTGCTGAATCACTGTTAAATCATCTGTTGAATAACTCAAACAGGTTCAGACTGTCCAGCCGTACAGATTAGAAAACCTTGGACTCTTCTAATCTCCGTTTCTGGAGATTTGCTTGTTGCTAACTGGTTCTGACTGGAGAGTGTTGTTTAGGAAAGACATGATATCTGTAGGAGCTGCTCTTTATGACCTTGTTGGTAAAACTAAGCTAGTGGAGGGGGGGCGTTGTCAGTCCGATGCTGTGTCTCTATTCTCGCACTTCCATACTTACACTTAGAGGGTATAAGTGCGTTCACACTGAGAAGTATGGCAAAATGCAGCACTGTGAGTACCCGGATGGTGGACACCTCTCACCCTCAACGACCGCCATTTTAGCTACGTAGCGGAAGGGGCGGGACCAACAACACGGGAGAAGCGGGAAGCAGCAGAGAGAGAGGCCAACAACAACAGGACGTCTTTTTCATCACTAAATCCACTTCTGAGAAGTTTTGAGGCGAGAAATCAAATGTGTGTAGATGTCGAATATTATCAAAAATGTGCTTGAAAGTTTACGGAGTTCAGAAGCTCTGCAAGTGGCGGCGGGGAAGCCAACGCAGCGGCTGTTTCTCAATACAGAGTTCTGTACTTTAAAGCTCGGACTTGGCAAGTTCGGCTCGGGAGTACAAACTCCCAGGAACGGGAGCACGCAGTCCGTCATTCAGCAATTGGAACAGCAGCGGACTTGATGACGGCCGGACCCGTTAGCGGGCGGGATCTCCGAAAGTGTCACAGCAATTTTTTAAATCAGCTCTGTCTTGAGAAATCAGCCACATATTTAGAGTTTAAACAACTATATTCCCGCATAAAAAACTCTTCAAACTACTATATGTGACACAAGAACAGCAGGATTATAATTTACAGTTGTGAGTTTTCTCCTCCGACTTTTTGGCGGCAAAATGCATCCTGGGATATCTGGCTATCCGAAGTCCACACAAGTCACCACCGATGCAGGCTCGGTAAAACGGGCAGAGCGAGAACACATCCGGGTATTTGACTGTACTGGGCAAGATGCGGACTTTTGAATTGGAACGGCACTTTGGCTGCGACTGATGACGTTTCACAAGAAAACAAGAACAGACAAGAACGCAGACTGAGAAACAGCCAGAGAGTCGGGTGTAGCTGCAGCCTCCCGTCGGTCTTAAACGCAGCAGCAGAAACTCCAGCAGCAACAGCAGAGGAAACAACAGCTGTCAGACAGTTTTAATGTTAATGCTGTCATTACATTACAGTAATTTAAATTAAATGTAGAGACATGCGGCTCCTGATGTGCTGATGTATGTCCTGGCTTGTGAAACTTAAAAAATAAATAAACAGGAATAGTAGACATTACATTGTTAGTGTACAGTTGTGGTTACAATGCTTTTATTTTATATAATTCTTATTTATGCACCAATATACCAAAGAAAAGTACTTGTAAGTTTGAACTTGGCAATAAACCAGATTCTGAGCATTTTATTTTGGGTGATAAAGCCTGGCGGTATTGTGCAATCGTGAGATAAAATAATTTCCGGCACAACAGCAGTGTTTGACACCACCCTGTCGAAATTAACGCACTAAGCAAGTAAACATAGTGTACGCGGTGTACTGTTATTATACTCAAGGAAGTACCTGAATTGAGACACAGCGTGAGACAAGACTAACACAAGACTAACGTGTTAAATTTGTGATGTTGTGTCGTTTATTTGCATCACTTATCGTGTGTGAAGACTTGTACTTGTTATTATTTAATACTCTTCTCTGCAGCGAAGGTGCTTGCTGTTGGTTGGTATTTCCTGTCACTGCCTCGCTGTCTGTCTCACCTGCTCGTCACAGCGTGGCGGTCTTTCATCTCTGACCTCTCGAACCAAACGTGAGGACACGCCCTCACTATCGCCCTCTGAATGACCCCCAATAGACCTCCGTGAATTTGGCCCACCTGTGGACGACACGGAGCGGTGACATCGCCACATCAAAACACCTGGACTAAGAGACCCTGACCCGCCCCCTGGTGAGGATACTCACCATGGCGTAGCAGCCGTCATTGGCCAGAATCACAATATCGATCGGCGAGGTGTGATTTGCAACACAGATTCCTCCTTTCTGAGGCTTATTTTCTCTGCAGAGACAAGATGATAACTGGATTCAAACTTACAGTAAGTTTCAGCTTCATGTTGTCAAGTGTCAGTAGTAAAAGTACACAAGTATTATCAGCTTCATGCAGTAAAATATCTGAACCTATGTGACATTATGAGATTGTTAATGCAGATGCATCGATGTTAGAACAGCATTTTACCTTTGAAGCTGCTGGAGGTGGAGCTAGTTTTTCTGCTTTAAATTCACTTCGCTAGTTTTGACTAGTACTGACTACGCACTGATTTTATAGAAGAGCTCAAAAGTCAAAGTTTAAAAGCAGTTTGGAAACGCCGGCTTAATCTTTGACAGCCTGCTGTAATTTATAAACTTGTTTTTAATGTAAAATCTTAATGTGAAAAGCAACCAGTGACTCCAGCTGTTAGATGACTGTGGTGGGACAAACGTTCCATCATGGTTTGTTAGCAGCTCCTGATGTGTGAAACAAAGTTAATGAACCAAAGAATGAGAATCGGAGCAGCTGTAACTGACCTGTTGTGGTACTGGATGGTGGCTGACAGTCCTCTGGCACAGATCCTGTAGCAGGTCAGATGCACCAGCTCGCTCAGCCAGTTCTTTGCACTGCAAACACAGAAATACACAACGTTCAGAGCCCAAACTTTAAAGGACTTATTGTTTTAGGCTGCGGTTTCCTGCTGTACCTGCTCTCAGGCAGAAATCCCACCAGAATCGTTCCGATGACGAGCCACGTGAGGCCGATGATCGCCAGAGTGATCCTGCAGGAACACAAGAGGGAGGTTAAAGCATCATTCTGGTTCATTCTGACTCAGACTTTTATGTTTGTGCCGCTGTCCATCGTTTTTTTTTAATCAGTGACAATAAAAAAGCACTCACTCAGATTCACTGTGTGTTATTTCAAATAACATCAGGAACTCATCAGGTGAGTGAATTTTTCTGAGCGCCACAAACAAAACGACTGAAACGACTCTTTTATACAATCCGAATTTGATCCACTCAGTCCATTAGCATTTGGAAAGTATTCAAGAAAGACTTGAACGTGCCTCAGACTGACCTGAGAGGGAAGAGGACGCAGTAGCGCACGAAGACGCCGAGGCCCCAGATGACGGTGAGGCGGAGGCTGATGTAGCGGAAGTTCTGGTTGGTCCGGGTGAGGAGGTTCCAGGAGGCGAGCTCCTCGGAGGAGAAGCGCTGCGTCACCTGGTCGTCCACGATGCTCTCCAGACCTTTCTTGTAGAAGTAGAAGGCGTCGCTCAGAGCAAACTCCCCCCCCGCCAGGGACCGGGAGCTCTGCCCCATCTCCTCCTCCATCGAGCCCCCCGCTCGCTCAATGATGCCTGCGACACAAAACTGTTGGTTACAACGCAACAGCCGATAGCAGCTGATCGCAGATAGATAAAGAAAATTCATCTTTTTTGATAAGTGATTAATCATCTCAGTAATTTTTTTAAGCAAAACTGTGAAAGCACATATTTGTTGTAAATTCTTGTTATTCTATATTTTTATATGTTGTCAAATATACAGTATATTCATGTACACAACATCCTCTCCCGCTGCAACACGTCTGCACGACACAAACCCGGAATAATGCACATGTTATAATATAAATATCTGCCACGTCGTTCTTTCTTATTATTCTCATTTAACTTGCATTTGTTTATTCCATATTAAAGATTTCTGCATTTATTTATATCAGCTGTATGTTTGTCTACGTGCAGGACTTTAACACCAAAGCAAATTCCTTGTGCGTGTAAAATACTACTTGGCAATAAAGCTTCTTCTGATTCTGATTCTGATTCTGAAACATTTGCTGGTTTTAGTTGACTAACAGTTTCAGTTCGACTTGTCTTGATATTTTACAGTTTAAAAATTAACAGCAAGAACAGAGTGAATAAACTGTTAAATATCTTTATAGATATTTCTCTGCTGACATTTACTAGGATCTGTGTCTCACACCAGCCCTGAGTACATAAAACACAAACAAACAATATAACAAGTGTCTGTGGTGAAGGGTTGGGTGTTTCTCCTCCAACCATCGTCCACACCTCTGTGTACACAAGTATTTAACTTAAGAGCTTGATGTAAAAACAAACTCTGCAGTCGTCCTCAGCTAACTAACTCAAACTAGAATCACCGCCCTGATGTTGTTTTGCCTGCCGACGGTCTAGTTGCAGTTTACACACGTCTGGCTGACCCATGTTAATATATGTAGTGGATTCTTGGTTTGAATAGAATAAAAGGTAAAAGCGTATTTTTTTGGCTAAATGGAAGTTATTAATGATACTTAGCAGTGTTGTTGTACTCGAGACCGGTCTTAAGACCACTTTTTGATGGTCTGGGTCTCGTCTCGGTCTCGGACATTGAGGACTCTGGATATTATTTCAAGACCAGTCAAGATCATAACTGTGGGAATGTCAATAAATTGCTTTTGCATTGGCTGATTTATTTGTTAACATTCTAACTTTGATTGGATGTAAAACTCATTGCTTCAAATGCAACCAGTAACCCTAATTAAAATGTGTTGTTACCGTTAACGACTGTCCCCGCGATGGTCAGCGTGGAAAAGTAGTGTTGAATAAAGACACTGATGTTGTTTTCAGCTCTTAATGTTTGTATGTGGGTGTTTTAATGGGAATGTGGATCTTTCAGATCAGTTTGAGAAGCACCTCTGATCTAGTTCCACATTTTATTGTGTCATGTAATGTGGGGAACTGGTCTTGGTCTTGACTTGGTCTCACCCTCCATCGGTCTTGATCTCGACTTGGTATCAGCCCCTAAAAGTCTCGGTCTTGATAAACTCGGACTCTTGACCACAACACTAATCCTTGGTGTGATTCCAGTGAATTTACACAGTTGAACTGATTAATGAATCAGATGTTTTGGATAAACAGGTACTGTGTAAAGTTGGCTTCTTACAGAGTCCAGCTACACCACATGGTGCTCCTGTTGGCGAGCGCCAATACGTTGTTCGCAGTCACGTGATTCTGATGCAATCGACATTCAGAACGAGGCAGGAAGTGAAAAGCTTCTGGACGAGACAGAGGAAAGCCGACGCCGTGCTTGTTGTTGTTTACTTATTTTGTTGTCCCACGCCACGTGTGTGTGAAGTCTTAATTATACCTTAAATTATGGCAAAAAAGGTCACGATGACCTTTGACCTTTCAGAAGTTTCCCTTTTCCACTTCTGTTCTGAGTTATGGTGTTGGATAATGACCAGGACCTTATGATGTTGCAGTGAAGCCAAATTTGAAGACATTCTCTCAAGGCGTTATAAGGAGATCTCACGAGAACGGGACAGACAACCTGGAAACACAACAACTCCAACCACTAAATAAAAACCAAGCCTGTTGTAGTTTAAGAGTTTAGTCAAGACCCCTTAGCATTGTTTTTTAATGCCCTGAGTACCTGTTAGCGATGTTAGATTATCAAAATAAACATAGTAAACGTTGTAAAACGTCACAATTTGGGGTGTACTCACTTTTGTTGCCAGTGGTTTAGACACTAACGGCTGTGTGATGTGTTATTTTGAGGGGACAGCAAATTTACACTGTTATACAAGCTGCACACTCACTACTTTACACTGTTATACAAGCTGCACACTCACTACTTTACACTGTTATACAAGCTGCACACTCACGACTTTACACTGTTATACAAGCTGAACACTCACTACTTTACACTGTTATACAAGCTGCACGCTCACTACTTTACACTGTTATACAAGCTGAACACTCACGACTTTACACTGTTATACAAGCTGAACACTCACTACTTTACACTGTTATACAAGCTGCACACTCACTACTTTACACTGTTATACAAGCTGAACACTCACGACTTTACACTGTTATACAAGCTGCACACTCACTACTTTACACTGTTATACAAGCTGAACACTCACTACTTTACACTGTTATACAAGCTGAACACTCACGACTTTACACTGTTATACAAGCTGAACACTCACGACTTTACACTGTTATACAAGCTGAACACTCACTACTTTACACTGTTATACAAGCTGAACACTCACGACTTTACACTGTTATACAAGCTGAACACTCACTACTTTACACTGTTATACAAGCTGAACACTCACTACTTTACACTGTTATACAAGCTGCACGCTCACTACTTTACACTGCTATACAAGCTGAACACTCACGACTTTACACTGTTATACAAGCTGAACACTCACTACTTTACACTGTTATACAAGCTGCACACTCACTACTTTACACTGTTATACAAGCTGAACACTCACGACTTTACACTGTTATACAAGCTGCACACTCACTACTTTACACTGTTATACAAGCTGCACACTCACTACTTTACACTGTTATACAAGCTGAACACTCACGACTTTACACTGTTATACAAGCTGAACACTCACTACTTTACACTGTTATACAAGCTGAACACTCACTACTTTACACTGTTATACAAGCTGCACGCTCACTACTTTACACTGTTATACAAGCTGCACACTCACTACTTTACACTGTTATACAAGCTGAACACTCACTACTTTACACTGTTATACAAGCTGAACACTCACGACTTTACACTGTTATACAAGCTGAACACTCACGACTTTACACTGTTATACAAGCTGAACACTCACTACTTTACACTGTTATACAAGCTGAACACTCACGACTTTACACTGTTATACAAGCTGAACACTCACGACTTTACACTGTTATACAAGCTGAACACTCACGACTTTACACTGTTATACAAGCTGAACACTCACGACTTTACACTGTTATACAAGCTGAACACTCACTACTTTACACTGTTATACAAGCTGCACGCTCACTACTTTACACTGTTATACAAGCTGAACACTCACGACTTTACACTGTTATACAAGCTGAACACTCACTACTTTACACTGTTATACAAGCTGCACACTCACTACTTTACACTGTTATACAAGCTGAACACTCACGACTTTACACTGTTATACAAGCTGCACACTCACTACTTTACACTGTTATACAAGCTGAACACTCACTACTTTACACTGTTATACAAGCTGAACACTCACGACTTTACACTGTTATACAAGCTGAACACTCACGACTTTACACTGTTATACAAGCTGAACACTCACTACTTTACACTGTTATACAAGCTGAACACTCACGACTTTACACTGTTATACAAGCTGCACACTCACTACTTTACACTGTTATACAAGCTGAACACTCACTACTTTACACTGTTATACAAGCTGAACACTCACGACTTTACACTGTTATACAAGCTGAACACTCACTACTTTACACTGTTATACAAGCTGAACACTCACTACTTTACACTGTTATACAAGCTGAACACTCACTACTTTACACTGTTATACAAGCTGCACACTCACTACTTTACACTGCAGCAAAGTGTCATTTCTTCACTGTTGTCACATGAAAAGATAAAATCACATATTTACAGAAATGTGAGGGCTGCACTCACTTCTGTGAGATGCTGTATGTGAGTGATGTAACTCACATAATGTCACTAAAAGGATATAATAAGGTTTTTGTTTCACACGGGAAACAAACTCCAGTCTCCAAGGGTGAAAATCCGGTTACTGAACCACCCGTCCACCCCGATCGCCTCCTTCCTCAGGCTTTTCTGTTATTTATAGCAATACTTTCAGTGTTGAACTATGGCAGTAAACCCTGTCCGCTGAACTATTACAAAGGGAGGTCAAGTGTGTTGGTACCAGACGCTGAAGCACGTGACAAAGCGTGGCTGTTTGACGCCCTGGGAACATACGATAATAATAATAATTAGCTGTATGTATATTAGCTTGTATTAATGATGATTCAGAATGTAAAGTTCTCCACATGTCTCTATGAGAGGAACTCTTTCTAAAGCTTGAAATGAGATTAAGCTGCAGCAGAGGAACAGTCTGAGGATCACGAGGACGCTGACCTCTCAGAAATGTTTAACCTCAGAGTGCAGCTTTGTTTCCCCTGATAGGGCCTGTGCTTCCTGCAGCAGGAACTTATATGAGCTAACGTAGAGGGAAAAATGTTTTGGAGCGAGTGTCACATGGAAATTCATCTGTATTTTACCTGGCACTCTTCAGCTTTTCCTCTAAATACTGAAGCTCTACGCTCGATCGTTTTAAAGTCAGAGGACTTCTCTGAATTTATAATATGTATTTTAAAGCTTTGACCAAAGGTTCAGCCTGAGAAAAATAAGAAATCATCTGTCATGGTGGGGACAAGAAAGTGGAAGCTGAGCATCAACGTCTGATTTAAATATGAGCAGGTTCCTGTTTCAGTGCCAAGTGCACAATAAATTCTATAGCAGGCCGTTAGTGAAGCAAAGAAGGAAAACATCTGTGTGCGTTTTCTACACACGTTTGTAACTGGACAAATAACGGTGGATGTATGTGAGAATACTTTATGTTCAGTGATGCGCATGGACTGACTGTGTGTAGTAATGAAACAAACCCTGCAGTGTGAACGCGCAGCAGAGCCGACACACACACACAGAGCAGCAGCAAAGTTATGCAATCTGTTGTTGCATCATCATTGTGAGACGAACCATGTGTTTTTCACCCTGCAGCACCCCGACATCAGATGCTGGAGCTGACCAATGGAGAGCCCACACTCACACAGCCCGCGTCACATGATCTCTGTCTGCAGCTGAAACAAATCCCTCACGCAGCAGCAGGACACAATGTCCTGAGAGCCCAGAGGAAGCCCAGCTGCAGACCTCACGCCTCCTCAGTCCGGTTGTTTCTTTAGTTTTAAGTTTACCCAGCGGCAGCTTCAGCCGGTCCTCCTGTGTACAGAGCTGCAGCCAGTGTTCATTTTCACTGTTCCTCGATTAATCGATGAATTATTTGGTCGATAAAATATCTGAAAACAGTAAAGAGTGGCTGTTATAATTCCCTTCAGCTCGCGGTGACGTCTTCAGATGTCTCGTTTTGTCCGACCAACCGTCCAAAACTCAAAGATACTCACTTTAACATAATGTACGTCAAAGAAAGTCTTCCAATCCTCACATATGAGACACAGTAAATGTTTGACAAACAATGACCGAAAACGATCTTTCGATTACAACTTAATTTCCTGTTGATCGATTAACTGACTAATCGATGCAGCTGTAGCAGGTAAACGACATACGTCCGAATCTGGGTCGAAGAATTTACCGGAAACCTGCTGTAAGAAATTCACACATACTTATCACGGTCCAGATCAGAGCCGCAGCCTGTCCTGTTCTCTGACTTTAGACTTTTAACGTTATATATCCAGGTGTTGGGAAGTGAAACTGCGTATGTTTTACAGTAGTCTGACGCCTTTAGTGTCTCAGCTGTGTGACGTGGGATAAATGTCCTGAATCTGCTGGTGTGGAGTCGCTGCTGCTCATCAGGATACATTAGCTGCTACTAGCATAACAAACCACAGTCTCACGCCTAACTGCATTGTAGGGAACGTAGGCGGCAGGTTTGCACCAGGAATAAAAACAGGATGTCTCTGGTTCAGCTGTTGTGGCTGACGCTGATGACAGTCACACGCCGGAGGGGGAAGCTTCTTCAGCCTGTTTTTATCAGCATGTGGGAACATTTCAGATTTAGAGTGAAAGAGTTTCCTGACTGAGGTGTAAAGTAGTTTGTGGATAAATAGAATAAACGCTGCCGAACATGAAGCAGCGGCTGGAAGTGAAGAAAGCGATGAGGAGGCCGTAACCTTCTTCACGTCAACACGTCGTCATATTCTCCACGGGGATTAAGCGTCGACTGCGGCTCTTTTAAAGACCTCGCTGTGTCGTCTTCTTCTTCTGTGGTGGTTTAATCAGCCGATGAGCTCGTGTTCTCACAGCAGAGTTTAGTTTCACCATTTAAAACACTTAAAATTTAAACTGAGTTTGGTTGGAAACTCGACTGACGAGTCTGATCGTTAATCAGACCTGAGAGCTAACAAGCCGCTGCGTCCTCCAGTCCTGGAAAAATAACTCTTTAAGTACAATTTTGCTGTACTTTACTTGAGTATTTCTTTGAGAGTATTTTGTACTTTTTACCCCACTACATTTATCCAACAGCTTGTAGTAGTAGTTGTCATAGATTAACCTACCCAACACTAATAAACTACTAACACATTAACACATCAGTAATAAAGATAAAGTGATATATAATAATACATCAGTCTGCATAATAAGTACTTTGGAAGTAAATTTGTTGAAAGTACTTCTGTATTTTTGCTTTGAATGCAGGATATGCATGTACTGGAGTATTTTCACGTTGCTGTATTACTTAAGCAAAAGCCTATTTTATTTGCTATTTCTTTATATTTATTATTATGTTTTGTTAATTTGCCATCAGCCTTTCTTATTTTTTATATTTTATATTTAAAATATTGTTTATCGATTATGTTGTTTAGTTGATGATAACTGATTGTGTGAAGTCAGGTCTGTGTAACACACGTGTGAGAGTGCATTTTAGTGCTGCTGTCGCTCTACAGGAGCCTGGCGAGGCACTGAGATGATCACTGTTCATTAAAGTATGTTTTTATTCATGCTTTCAGCTCCCAGTTAATCTGACTTACCTTTGGGCAGAGGCACAGGGACGCTGGGCTGCTCCTGCCGACCCCTCTGGATTCGTAACGTGGCCCACTATAAAGAAAGTTATTTTCAGATGACCCCTGACACGATGTCTGCGGCTGCACATTTCATAACTGAACAAACAAATTAAGTAAGGAGTGGAGCGGGCGACAGCAGGCAGGTTCTCCCGAGGACAAACTAAAACCAACAAACTAAACTCCAGCAGGGAGAAGAGTGAAAAAAAGACGCTCGTTACCTGCAGGATTTTGACCAGGATCTGGATGTAGACCCCGGTGACGCCCAGAGAGAGGCCGAACATGGCGGGCAGCATGATGAGGAACACCACCACAAACACCCACACCTGGAACACACCGACAGCCACACACCACAGGTCCTCCATCACCGACAGCTGAGGAAGCCTGAGGTCAAATCATCATCTGCAAACAGAAACACCAGAGTGGCTGTACGGATGTCACGTGTCTGCGCAGCACTTTGGTCCACACTGAAATATCTCAACCACTTCTGGACAGACTGGAATGAAAGTTCGTTCAGATCTTCATTCTCTGAGTTTTTCATCTAGCGCCACCATCAGGTCAAATACCCGCAGAGCTGATGATGTTCCCATCAGCCTCAGCTGCACGCTGTGTTTCGCTGAAGCGACCGTCAGAAAGTTAGAAAAAGTGACTATTTTGTTTCTTCATTTGATTAATTTTCCAAACAAAAATGCTAAAACTTCAGCTGGTTTTCTCTGTTTTATATTAAACATAAACTGAATAAGGACAATAAAGGACAATGAGTTACAAGTACAATACAGAAGTACAATATTTCCCTCTGAGATGTAGTGGAGTTGAAGTATAAAGATGCATAAACTGGAAATACTCAAATAAAGTACCTTTAAACTGGACTCAGTGGTGGAATTTAACAGTTTTAGTGTCCTCTAGTCCAACTTTAAAGTTACTTTATTCTTCTACACTAGATTTTAAGAGGGAAATATTGTACTTTAATTTGTAGATTCGTCTTACAAAACATCCTATTATCTTATAAAATATGCATACATCTTTACAGTATATTATATCTTTGTAAAGAGAATAAAAAGTAGTTAAAAGCACAGCTAAAAACATTAAAATGATGGTTAATACATCAATAATAACAATCCAATCTTATATAAAACAAATAGGCTATAATAATTTAACATTTTACAATGAGTAAATTTACTTGTTTATATATTTTTAGTATAAAGATGCATAAACCGGAAATACTCAAATAAAGTACCTTTAAAGGACACTCAGGGTGGAATTTAACACATACTTTTAATCAAGCCCACTCTTGTCCAATTCTTCTGCACTAGATTTTAAGAGGGAAGTTTAATTTGTAGATTCATCTTACAAAACAAACGATTATCGTATTAACTATTTTAATGCAGTATATTACATCTTTATAAATAAATAAAAAGTAAAGTTTTATCTATAATGCTTCTGTACTTTTACTTTGATGTTGAATGCAGGACTTGTAATAAAGTATCTTTAAAAGTTTTTCTACTATAATTTCAGTAAAGTATCTAAATAGTTACTTAGGTTTTATTTAAGTACACGAATAAGTACTTCATTCCAGTAATAGCGGGTGTTTCCCATAGACTAACTAGCTGAACGATAGGAAGCTGCAGTTAGTCAAAGTATTTAGAGTTATATAAACTAAAGTACACTAAAAAACAAACAACAGATACACAAACAACAGCAACATGTAAACATGTAGCCTATATTTGCGTTTAATAAGTACCTGGGAGGAGTCGGAGAGGGAGTCGCAGCCGCAGACGTCCTGCAGTAACAAAGAAAGTCTCGCACCGTGAAGTCGGAGCTCACTGGGCCGTTTTAGACGCGCCCCCTCCGGGAGCCTCCTGCTGCCGGACTGCGCTGGAAAAACGCACAATTTAACTGCGCCTATGTTGCGCTTCAGTCACGCTCCTGGTTTCATGTTTGTAGTCAACAAGCAGCATGGCGGAGGCGACTGTCCGTATGTCCGGGATTGTTTTAGCTTCTCTGATGTTCCAGCATGTTAACAGCGATTCAGACGTGGTGAGAAATACATTCATTGATATTTCAGTAAAGTCGGTTTGTTTACAGTGGACCGCGGTGGGCGGGAACGTTAGCTTAAATGCTTCCGGTTGAGGAGTTAGCAAACAGAGCAGAAGTGTCCCAGTGTTATTAACACACTTTTAAGTTAATTAGTTCTTGTTTAGTAGTTTAAATGCTAACGTTTTAGCCTGGGGTTTGGAGCATTAAAGAAATGTTTGTCGTTTAAGTGAAGCTAAAACTCCCACCTCGCTATTTCTGCAACTTTTCTTTAAGCTAAGAGTTCCTGTCCAGTCCTGACAAGCCAGACTCCGTTTAAAAATGTTTCTAATTTAACGTGACACCTATTATGGACAAGTATACACACCTTTTGAAATGTGACTGAATGCATTTTAGACGTTTTTCGGGTCTGCTGATTAATTCGGCATATGTATAATCCAACAAACAAGTTTTTATTTAATTAAATATGGGCCTGGATGGATGGATGGATATTTCTCACTGCACATTCATTTTTATTCTCCAGTTTAAATGAATTCAATAAATTTTAAGGGCTGCAACTATCTTATATCCCTGTTATTGATCAATTTGCCAAATATTTATTTGTTAATTTTTTTTAGTCTACATTAGTTTAACCTTAAAATGTCTTCTTTTGTTTAACCAAAAGTCCAAATATACAGTTTACACAACAATTGACAAAGAACAGCTGCAAATTCTGCTGTTTCAGTTTTTACTTGAAAAGTCTAAGAAGCAATTTTCAGAATAGTTGCTGATTGTTTTTCTGTTGTTTGACTCATTTATTAAAACGGTTCATTTTTAGCTTGTGTTTTGTTTTAAAGCCTGTTTGTGTTGTTTAATCCCTTTTTGTTTCTTTCAGATCTTGTTTTATTGTCTTACGTAACACACAGGTGCTTTACATACAAACTTTCCTTGCAGATCGCATGTACAGAAGGTCAACCTGTACATTTACCATTTATTTATTTATTTATTTATTTAGAAGGGACAGTGCAAATTAATGAACATATTTGCTTTTTCAGCAATGTAAATATGCCAGAATAAGCCTATAAAGGATATTTTCCATCTGTAGTCAAATAGCTCCAAGACACAACTATTATTTATTTCTGTCATGTTAAATAAATTAGAGTCAGTCTGACAGCCAAGTTAATATCCCAGTTTTATTTGTGTGTTGTCGCTCTGCAGGAAGGCCTCATCCTCGGAGAGAGCAGGTTTGATGAGCAGGTCACCATCAGCGACTCTCAGGCGGACCACATTCACATTGAGGAGATCTACAGTAGGTTCACGCCGGCCTCGTGCAGCGTTGCGTCCTCCCTGCCACACACGATAACACGTCTCCGTTTCTTTAACAGATGTCCAGAAGCACATCGCCTGCCGCAGACTGAACGAGTGAGTGCAGGAGCTTTTTATATTTTATAGAAGTCTACAGCAGCTGTTAATGGTGCAGATGTTTGTCCTGACCTCTGTGTCTGCAGCTTCTACAACAGCGCAGGAGAGGTGGACATGAACGCCATAAAGAGCATCCTGGCAGACAATAAGCAGGTAAGTCACAAACATCTGGCAGGTAAAACACCTGCAGAGCCAAGCTGTGGCGTTTAAAGACGTTTGTGTTTGACACCTGGAGGAGAGCGTGATTGGCTGGTACCGACAGCGCAGGAACACGGATCAGCAGATGACGTTCAGAGAGAAGGTCATCCACGAGAAGCTGAAGGTGTCTCTGTCCAACCCTCACATGATCTTCCTGCTGCTGACGCCCAGCAAGGTAACGACCGCAGGCTCCACCCACAGGATGGAGTACGCCGCCTTCATCTCCCGCAGCAGGTGAGCGCTCTCAGGTGTTGGCGTTAACGCCGTGTCTGTCTTCAGCCACTCATGTGATGTCTTAACTAAATCGTAGTTAACGTTTTGGAGTGGCCTTTTATTGTGGCCAGCCTAAGGCCTTTTATTGTGGCCAGCCTAAGGCACACCTGTGCAATCCACATGCTGTCGGATCAGCATCTTGATACGCCACACCTGTGAGGTGGATGGATTAACTCTGCAAAGGAGAAGTGCTCACTAACACAGATTTTGACAGATTTGTGAACAATATTTGAGAGAAACAGGCCTTTTGTGTACGTAGAGAAAGTCTTAGGTCTTTGAGTTCAGCTCATGATGAATGGGGGCAAAAACTAAAGTGTTGCGTTTATAATTTTGTTCAGTTTAAAGCTAATTGTTAGTTGCAGCCTTAATGTAAACTAACTTGTAGTTACTGAACCTCTAGTGTCGACTTTACGCCCTGACCTAGGATAGTATGTACAGCTGGTGCAGCCCAGTACAGGACTTTAAGTATTTGTACACTGTGGTATTACTACTTGTACTCAGGTAAAATATCTGAGTCCTCTTCTGTCTGAAAGCTCTTAGTATCTGTGTTTTAGCCTCCAGCAGACGTCGTGTTTGTGTTTTCTGCTCTGATGATGCTGATGATGATGATAACGTGTGTCCTGTTTGGTGAAGGCGGATCATGAACGTCCCTGTACTCGTCAACAACCTGGGTTTACTGGAGCAGCTGGCGTACTGGAAGGTGTCTGCGCCGTGCTCAGCAGAGGGTTATAACTCCACCATGAAGAAACACGGGTACGACGCTGCACGCGGCGACGGGGGTCACGTCAGGTCGCGTCTCTGCTCATGTGACTGAAGCTTTGTGTCTTGTTCCAGGTCCAGGTTCTTCTCCTCCAATGGGCTGCTGAGAGAAGTGAACGACGTGAACACGATGAACGAGTCTCTGCAGGCGGAGCTGCAGGTGAGCAGCAGCAGCAGCCGCAGCAGGTGAAGTGTTTTAACTTCCTGCCGCTTCAAACTCTCAGTCTTTGTGTTTCCTGTCGGACAGAAAGCGTGCAGCGATGTGGAGGAGAGCGAGCGTCTGGTCGAGGCTCTGCAGGCCGACGTGGCGGCGCTCAGGGGGAGGCTGAGCGAGAGGAAGCAGAGCGGCAAGGGAAAAGGTGAGCCGCTGAACACATCCATGATGTCGGGAATTGATCCTGTGACGCGCTCCGACATTATCAGTAGAGCTGAAACCATCAGTCACGTAATCGATTAGTTGATGATCAGCAAATGTTTATGCAATTGTTTCAAAACTCGTTTTAATCTTTTCAATTATTTTCATGCAGAAATAGTTAAAATGTGCCAAATATTCTCACATCACAGCCTCTCAACTGTGACGATTTCCTGCTTTTCTGTCTTTCACATGAAAGTAAACTGAATATTTTTGGTTTTTGAGCTGCTGATTGGACGAAAATGAGACGTCTAAAGGACATTTTACAGACTAATTGTTGTTAATATTTGCGGCAGTATTGCAAAAGTCTTGCCCGCTATTGGGCCTCAGGTGTCTAGTTTGTTTGCTAACCAGTATACACAAACGATACACGTATTTTGTTTTCTCTTTGGAAGGAGCTAGGCTAGCAGTTTCCCCCTGCTTTCAGTCTTTGTGCTAAGCTAAAGGCAGGCAGGTATGTACAAAGTGTTTTCCAACAACAGGCTGTCGCTGTCAGTAAGTGAGATGTCTGTCCAGGTCATACTTATATAAGGAGGGTTAAAATCAAGGAATAGTGTCCAATTAACCTTCCTAGTTTGAAGCTGAATGGAGTTGAACACATCGTAGACCTCCATCTGTAGTGGATGCACCGAGATGAGAGTGGTGATCAGTAGTTAGGGGCTGTGCTGACTGATCAAAGTTCACCAGTGTCACCTTGACCGAACGGGGAGTTGCAGATATCTGGGACAGAAAGTTCTTATCTTAAGTCTTAGATGGGAAGAATCTAAGATTGGTTTTTCCCAGTTTGGTATTACAGAAGTAAACAAACTAACTTTAGTAATCCTATCTTATCTCAGGTTAGGAAATCCTAAATTCTCAATCCAACATCACTTCATCATCAACTTTTATATATACTATGCTTTTTTATTATATTATGTTACCCATCAACAAGATATCAAGATTCTGAAACATGTAATTGAAAAAGGAAAGTAAATTATGATTATTATAATTAAGGCTTCAGGCTAACGTTACCGTGTTTTTCATAGTTTTCTTGTCTTCACTGATCTCCTCCTATCATCAACATGCATTAGCAGACGTTACATATACAGAACATTGTTATTCACAGAGACGTTAGATTGTTTTGTCATCAGCTCATCGTAAAGATCTGCTATAAACCTTTAAATTAATAACTTCCACCTGTTGACATTTAGCTGATTTTATATTTCCATGTGGACTGAAGAAGTAGAAACACCACCTGGTGGAGAGGTGAAAGTTAGGACGGCTCAACAGTTACTCTAAAGTCAGGAGAGTTTATTTAAGATGTTGGGAAGTTGTGTAAAACACTTGTCTTAAGTTAGGACAGGAATCAGGTCCTAACCCTTATCAATATTCTGACCAGCTGAGAGAGGATCTGTAGTCAGGACGTGTCTGTAAAACGACCCCAGATGTGCAGAGTCGGGTCTTTAGAACAGCAGAGTCCAGGTTCAGGTCTGTTTCCTGTCTGTCAGCAGCTGCAGACGAGGATCCACCCGAGCAGAGGAACAACCTGCTGCTGCACGAGGCCGTCAGGGCCCTGTTCGCCCGCTCGCCTCTCTTCCACTCTCAGACTCTGACCCTCGAGGCCTTTCCTGTTCCCGACGACTGCTGCGGCGCCGACGGGCGGGAGGAAGACGTCTCCACAACGACGAACGCTCAGGAAACTCTCTCCCTGCTGCACCCCGGCAGGACGAACTCCCGGAAGAGACCGAGAGAGATGCTGGGGTCGGAGAGGAAACGCAGGAAGAGCAAGTCCTGAAGTGAAAACGAGATGCTGCTCAGGAACTGATCTGCTTCGGATTCTGGGACCAAACTACCCTTTAATCGGTGCTGCTTCTTCTTCTCGTTCACATTCGAGGGTCGTTTCTGTTTTTTTACAGCCGATTCAGCTGCTCACTGAAGCATCTACTGCACAGATTCCTGCAAGTCATTTCAACACCAACACACGTGGGAAAAGGTTTAAAACTACAGAAATTAGCCTTTAAGCTGATTTTAATGTCACTAATCTCAGTTTATCTGCAGTTATGATGACCAACAGTTTCTGTCACAAAGCATGTAACCCTGTTTTCTGACAGTTATTGAAATGTTTAAAGGTGCTGATAAAGAGATTTCTTTATGTTAAAAACTACTTTGCAGTTATTTATGAATAGAAATGCAGTTTTGATTGAACACTCCTGTTGTTATTTCCCTCTCCTGGTTTCCTCCCGGGGTCACAAACACTTCCCTCCATGGTTTATAACAAATGTTCATCTCTCCACGACCCGGCTCTGGTACGTTACAGTGTCTTTAAGCCCCGGTGTGACGTGTCAGCTTTTTAAAGTGAACAGGAGTTTTAGAAGTGAAATATACAGGATGTGTTTTTGTTTCACAGCTGGGATTGTTATTTTCGACACATCCCACTTTATAACCATCAGTGACAGAATATTTAATGTATTTTTCAGAATTAAAATCTCAAATATTTATTTCTTACTACAAATAAGAACAAAACTCAGGCAGCGACCAGCAGACGTGGAACTAAATGAAGAGCAGAGAGCGAGAACGAGGTCTGTTCTGCAGGTGTTTGATCATAAAGCAAAGTGTTGGGACACGTGTTGACCTGACGATGGCGCCGGAGGATCACCACAGTTCATCCTGTAAACAGTTTCACTCGGAGCGAACGTCTACTTTAAAAAATAATCCCTATAATAATGTGAACTGTGTTCTGAGTCATCAGTAACGAGCTGCAACGATTGGCTGATTAGTCAAATACTTTGATAACTGATCAGTTTCGGTTATTTTTAAGCAGAAATGACAGACGGATTCTGAAAAGAGATGAAGCTGCTGTTGGGAATTTTTGCAAGAAAACCAACTTCAATGATTGGTCAGTTATTAAAATTTACTTATTGGTAACTGACTTATAGTTTAAGCTGTTTGTCAGTTTAATTCTTTTTTAGAAGTTCTAGTGAAGAGAAGTATAAAGTGTATATTTTGACATCTGTAGTACCTCATGTTAGTACTCAAGTACATCAGTGTGACTTCATCTGAACAGATCCACAGAACAAACGGACACACGGCTCAGAGCGACTCCAGCCTTTAATAAACAAAACGATTACAGATTCAACACGAGAGAGAACACACAGACTAATCCAGATCTTTGATACCACAGATGTTGGGATCCCTCATGAACTGTGGATGTTTGTGGGTCACAGACATGAAACCTGGAGGGAGAAAGATGTAGATCGATTAGTAACAAACAAACATGAAGGAGTTATCTGCGTTTCCTCAGAGATGAAGATGAACTGAATCTTTGGGTTTTGATCTGTTGGTCGTTTCAAAATGTTTGAAGACGGCTCTGAGACACTGAGGGGTATTTTTTATTGTGCTCGCTGGTGTTTTTATAGGCTGAGAGAACAACTGAAATAATCTGCAGTAGCAGACTGTGGATTTGGATTTAAACATTTTGCAGAAACTTTCAAGTTAAAATGTATCCCTCGTTGACCAAAGTGCTTCCCAAGCTCAGAATACACAAACAAAAATACAAAAACAAAGACAGGATTAAAAGGTCAAAACTCGAATTGAAAGCCAATGAACAGAGATGGGTCTTAAGCAAGGACTCCAACATTTCAGCAGTCTGGAAATATTCCAGAGATCAGGAGCAGCCACTGAACAGCCAACCAGGAACATCGAAGAGCATCTGATTGGATGACCTCAGCGCTTTGACACGAGTGTGTACATGTAAAAGTTCTGATCCGACCATATTTTAATATCTCAGGCAGTTCAAGGCTGAACTGGGGTTTTGTCACTGGATATGTAAAAGGAGACACTGAGGATGAAACATCACTCTAATGGAAACGTACCCATTGAATGAGCTTTCTTTATAGCTTTTGAGACTTCTCTTTGTTTCCTTCCACACAAGCCTGTAAAACAAAGAGAGACGACGTGAAACGACCCGCAAAACAGGAAACGCCGCTGACGCAGCTCTTCGGCGTGCAGCTGCTCACCTGTGATGTGTCGGCCGTAGATTCTGCCCGTGTGCGGTGAGATGAACTGAGACAGCAGCTGAGAGGCAGAAAACACATTAGTGATGCTACATGTGAACTCTTTGGGCTCGAGGTGACGTTTGAAGCTTCAGGATGTGTTCGACAGATCCACACTGCTCCTGTTCTCATGGAAAACTGAATCACGGTCTTAGAAAACACTGAAATCTCACCTGAACTGGTTTCTTGTGTCCATGTAAACACGCTGATCAGGTGTGAACAGGTAAATCTGCAGCAGTGAGCTTCAGCTTAAAGTTTAATTTACCTTTTCACCACATCTTCTACACTCAGCCTTTTAAATCCAAAATGAAAGATGCCTTAATATTTAAATGTTTAGATTGTAAAAGTGACTCAAAATGATTTTACTACTTATCTTACTAGTTTTCTCTGTTATTTGTCCGTACCCATGTGTTTGTATTTTTATATGCGGCTGCCTGTCTTGGCCAGGTCACCGTTGCAAAAGAGGTTCTTAACATGTTCCTCTCTGCAGAAGCCTGATTATAAAAAGTATCTATGAAATCATCTTTTACATGTGCAGGAATTATAACAAGTTGATTTTACCTTGATTTAATGATGTGTTTTAATATTGTTTTTATTTTTCTTGTAGTATTTCCATTGTATTGCTTGACAGGTGTTAAATTTTAACCACTGGTACCAGATAAAACATAAAAACTTTGCCTGCAGACAAAATAATCTTCCAGGACAACACAAGATTATCCAGGATATTTGACTTTTTCCTCACATTTTCCAGGTGTTTTCCATGACTGGAAATTTGGTCAACCGTTTTCCAGGTTTTCCAGGAGGCCGTGCAGGTGTGTCTGACTCACCTGGATGTTCTTGTAGTCCACGGTGACCTTGCACAGAGTGCATCCTTTCTGCGGTTCTTTGAACGGGTTCTCCATTTTAACAAGCTGAAAGATGAAGATTAACATCACACCACAGTTACATGTTTATCTTTTTAATACCGAAACATCATCACTATGTTTGCTGACAGAAAACCCACCGTGTCTTCTTTCTGCAGGACTACATTTGAAGCCGCAGTCAGACTCCTCAAACCTGCAGGAGCAGATCACATTTTAATAAAGTTAGATTATTAAATATGACCAGACGTTAACGCGGGTCTGCAGCCTTACTTGTGTTTCCATGAGGTGATAAAACAGGTTTTAGTCTCTGAAAGCCTCTCAATGCGAGCATTTTGACCTGACACACGACCGGATGTTGTCAAGCGGGAACCCTCCGGGGCGTCGCTTGGTTTTCTAACTACTCGTTCCGACCACTTTTAAAGCTGTTTGTTAATTTGAGGTAAATTACATGTATTATTTATTTATTTATTTATTGGATCATTTGAAATTAATGTACAATGTGTGATTTGTTTGTCGTCGTAGATTTTAGGTTTCCGGCACGAATGCATTTAATAGTTCCGATCTAAAATGTTTGGTCGGAAGAGATTAAACGTTACCCTCTTCAAAGATCTAACAACACAAGATAGAAAGCACCCCGACATATGTGAAGAAGAAGCGTTAGCTCATCTCACATTAACAACTGATTATGTTTGTAGCATCAGATTTGGTCTCATCCCGTTTGTTAACAGAACCAGGTTCTGTGTAAATATTCACCGTTTTAACACATAGTAACGCGGCACAACGAAGATAAATTATAAGTTGGCAGAAAAGTACGCCGATTAAGCAAAGTGTGGTATCTGGTAATTATCGGCGTTATTTGGGGGTAACTCACAACAAGTTTCCTTACCGAAAATAATAAAAGTAAAGAATGAATTCAGATTTTGAACCGCTTAGCTCCGCTAGCTAGTTAGCCGGTAAACCGACGGCAGAAATGCTGGCGGGATTTCTCTCTTGCTCTGAATGCTGTGGAAGCATTTTTAAATGTGCTGCTCGCTGAGCTGTTGAACCTTCCTGCGAACAGAAGCTGCTTTTGTTAAACTATTTAAATTGCGACATAATTGTGTAGTTTTTTTTAACGGGAAATTGTAATTTAGATGTAACGTTATTATTCGTAGTGGTTGATTAACTTCAGCTCGCGCGGGGAACACATAAGGAGTCCAACTGACAGCAGTAAGCTAGCTTCACTTTACCAGGTTTAACGCTTATGAGGCGTTTTATCTCAACGCTAACTCGTTCAGTGATGTTGTAACGTGTCTGCAGCTGCACCTGTGCGTGCAGGTGTTTGTTTGTTAGTGTTTGTTTACCGGCTGCTGCTCCTCTGTGTGACCTGCAGCATCAGGGAGGAGGAGGAGGAGGAGGAGCAGCTGATCCTGGACAGGGATGTTCGCCGGAAACCAAGAGATCAGTGTGAAAAGAGTTTACTCGAGGAAGAGGTCGAGGGACGTCCTGAAGACTCACCTGACACCTGCCCGGAAGAGAGGAGAGGTTACCTGTTCACAGCAATGTCCCCAGACCTGGAGGCTCAACAGCATCATGGCTGATGGACAAGCTGTGGAGGTGAGTGACTTTACAAACTCTTACAAACTCGACTGACTCAAACTCTGATTAATCGTGTTTATTTAAGCAGAAGTCAGAAACATTATCTGGTTCCAGCCTCTTAATTGTGAATATTTGCTAGTTTTATTTTGCATTTTGGATTGTTGGTTCAGATAAAACACATTTTTTACAAGAGAAATAAGATATTTAAAATTAAAATAATTGGTTAATTTAAATAATTATGGTAATCATTCACAGCAGCTGATCACTTTCTATTAGGATGTAAAACAAAGAAACACTTTGATTTGAGAATCCAGAACCATCATGTTTTATTTGAAATATGAATTTCTTGTCCCACAAATTAATTTAAATGTCTAATAATATTTTAATATAATATACTGATATTTATTTATTTTAACACACTGTGTAAAATCGTTTTCAAGCTTTCAGGTTACTTTTAGGTAGGTGGGTTTATTGTCACAAGAGTGAAATTGAGTTTGTAACTCCCTTCAGCTACGTAGCAGACAATATACAGTAATACATAAAAATGTTAAACAGGAGTAAACTATCATCACTGGAGCAGTGCTGAGGATGAATAACAGTTTAAGAGTCTGATAGTTTAGGGGAAAAAGCTGCTCTGCAGTCTGGAGGTACGGCAGCAGAAACTTCTACATCTCTTCCCAGCATGCAGCAGGGTGAGCAGGCTGTGGCTGGGTGGGTCCTTTAGGATCCTTTGGGCTCTGCAGGCACCTCACCGACATCACTGATGCTCAGGAGATTGGTACTGATGATCTTCTGAGCAGTTTTAATCTCATGTTAGTGATGTTTCCAGTCAGGATGCTTTCTAGTGCTTCTCTGTAAAAGCTGACAAGAACTTGGCGTGGGAATTTGACCTTCTTTTAAAACATCATCAGGAGCAGTTTGGTGTCAGCTGATTGATCAGATTATGTCAATATAATATGTCAGTGTTTCTAACAGAATATCAGGCAATAACTAGCTTATTTCTTAGTTAACTGCTTTATTCTCCACCTTATGTTAGTGTTTACTCACTGACTGAATCTGCTCCCTTCACTTCTGTTTTCCCCACACACCCCTACACCGCTACTGTAAACGCACCTGCTGGCTCCGCCTCTTCCTGTCTCTCCCTGTATGTATCCGCCCTGCTGGCTTCCTCCATCAGCTGTACGTTTTATAAAGTCACCGAAAAGACTTCTGGATTTTTCCGGCCGCGCTTCCGCTTAGAGCAGCAGGTGGAGGAGGCTTGTTAACGACGTAGCCTTTGAAAATGAAACCAACTAACGAGTGATATCTGCACAGGTGTGTTGACAGTCGCTTTACCTCGTCCGTGCTTGTAAAATATCCACCGTGTCCTCGGTAGATTTATTTTGTCACAATACAACATCTTACAGAGTGAGATTGAGTTTTTAACTCCCTTCTGCTGAGTAGCCGACAGTATACATGAATTTAGAAGCGATTCTAAAAATGGTAAACGGAAAAAAACTGTATTTAGCGAAGCAGTAATAAAAAAACAACTCTGCAAAATATGTCACCAAATATACCTGGGCGACCCGGCCAAGGAAGGACTATGTGGGAAACTCTGTATGTCAATAGAAATAATTGACCCAAGTCAATATTTGGACATCCTGCTTCTTAAAGAAACCTCTAAAAGCTTTTAATAAACTGAAGTTGTTTATTTAATGTTGCAGCTTTGTGTCCCAACAGTGTAGGTCTGTGATGTCATCTGCCTAATTGATACTAACGTCAATAAGCTGCATCCTGATGATGATTTAAAGGAAACCTGAAAGTACCTCTGCTTTCCTATTAATGTCATTGATCATCTAATCACCTCAGCTCGTAACGTGTTGCCTGTGGATGAACCCTCCTGTGTTGTGTTCGCAGTTCTACAGCGACAGCGAGGATTTATTCGGGGACTACGACAGCCTCCTGCAGGACAGCTCTCTCCTGGCGAAGCTGGACGATGCGGAACACAATGAACGACAGCGAGACGTCCGGCGTTCGGCTGCCGATCAGCCGGACTTCACCGCTCTGCGGACGTCGAAAGACGCCGTCTGGAAACCGTCCCGTGAAGACGTTCTCACGGACTCCATCTTAGACGCCCTCGGAGACGAACCCTTCGAGGACTTGCCTCCCAGCCAGCGTCAGTTTCAGGAACAAGTTTGTGAGAACGTGAAGAGGAGCAGACTGCAGGACGGAGGCAAAACCTCGACGCCTCTTAGAAACACAGACGGGCCCTCGGAGCCTGGAACAGAAAGGAACTTGGAGGATAAGAGACAACCGAAGGCGAGGAGGAGCGTGGCGGATCAGCTGAAGAGGACGATGCTCTGTAACGCCGCAGCTCCCGCTAACGTTTCACGCACTGTAGCGTTAAAAGAAGCTGTAGTTTCTGAGGAGATCAGCGTCGCCATGCAGGCCATGGAGACGGTCTCTGCTGAGACGACCGACCTCGGGCCCTTCTTTGGGCTCCCCACCAAAGTGAAGGACCTGATGTACAAGCTGAGAGGAATCGAGAGTTTATACGGTGATGGGCTGTTTAGCGATCAGTAGATCATCAGAAGTCATGTTTAAAGCAAATATTTACATGTTCCATGTTTGTTTTGCTGGTTTTCTGATTTTATGGCCATTTTTTTAGAACAATTTTCTGATATTTTTTACACAAATTGATTAATTCTGAAAATAATCTGCAGACTAGGGCTGCAGTGTAGAGTTGGTTTTCATTATTGATTAATCTTCACATTAGTTTTCCATGAATCCAGTAATGGTTTGTCTCATTGTGTTCAAAACTACAGTCTACCTCAAAAAGATTCAGGTTGCTCGGGTAGAAAACATAGAAAAGCCTAAAAAATTCACATTTGAGAGAATTTCTGGTGTTTTTTTGCTCAGAAACTAATTAAGAAAACAGGTGCTGATTGATTTTCTGTCAATTGGCTTATGGTGGATCATGAAAAGAATTGTTAGTTGCTAGATTTTGTTTTAGTGGAATAGTTCAACATTTGGGGAAAAACACTTCTGTCTCCTACTGAGAGTCAGATTGATAACAATAAATATGGAGCTGCAGACAGTTAGCCTAGCTTAGCATAAAGACTAGAATCCCAGGGGGACCGTACATACATTTCCTTTTTCACTTTTTGTACATATTAAACAAGTCAGATTAACATGTTAATCAGAGAATTACCTTTGGACAGAGCCAGTCCAGCTGTTTCTGGTCTTTTTCCAATTTGAGCTAACCAGCTGTAGCTTCAAATTTAGCATACAGACGTATAAAGAGCCTTTCCTTTAAGCCAGTGTGACTTGAAATAGAGATCCGGAGCTTTTGTTTCTTTTTCAGATTGGCAGGAGACGTGTCTGAACCTGGACTGTGTTCAGCAGAGGAAGAACCTGATCTACTCTCTTCCCACCAGCGGGGGGAAAACTCTCGTTGCAGAGATCCTTATCCTCAGAGAGCTGCTGTGCAGGAAGAAAGACTGTCTGTTCATCTTACCGTACATATCGCTGGTGCAGGAGAAGGTAAAAGTAGGAAAAACGAAGCCACGTACTAGTAGTGCAAGTGTTTAGTAACCAAAAAATAGTTACAAGCTACTAATAAATAAGTACTAGTTGTATTTCAATAGCGAGTAGTAAGTTTCATGGAATAAATGTTAAAATGACTTGAACTAGTACCAGTGACAGACCCCTCGGCCGATTAATCAGGCCAATAGCTACAGTCACGAGGCCGATATATCTTCCTAAATGACCACAGCTCTAATCTAACAGCATTACTGGCTAGTGTTAAATATATAGCCTATAGCCCCATCGGTCGAGGCAGATGGCCGCCCACCCTGAGCCATGGTTCTGCTCGAGGTTTCTGCCTCTTAAAAGGAAGTTTTTCCTTGCCTCTGTCGCCTAGTGCTTGCTCTTGGTGGGAACTGTTGGGCTTCTGTAAATATCATCACAGAGTACGGTCTAGACCTGCTCTTTTATGAAAAGCGCTGTGAGATAACTGTTGTTGTGATTTGGTGCTATATAAATAAAATTGAATTGAATATAGTGAAACTGTAGAGATTAATGCAGCTGACTGACATCATTTCAGAACGTGGCTGGTGTTTAAGGGAGAGCAGGGTTCAGTTTGTCAGAAGTGATGTCTTTCAGCTGCCCTATTCTCTACAGTATTACAAAATATATTTAACACTAGACAGTAATGCTGTTAGATTAGATCTGCTGTCATTTAGGATGATATATCGGCATCGTGAGTGCAGGGATCGGTCGAAGCCGATTGTCTCAAAAAGCCCTATATCACTACTTTAATGCTCTTCATTTTGAGCTGATGGAAACTCCATCTTGGTTATTTTGCAGGTGCGTGGGTTAGCGAGCTTTGGCCTGGAGCTGGACTTCATGGTGGAGGAGTACGCTGGCAGTAAGGGCAAGTTTCCTCCCGTGAAGAGAAGAAACAGCAGATCTCTTTACATCGCTACGATAGAGAAAGCCCACAGCCTCGTCAACTCTCTGATAGAGACCAGCAGGATCGAGGACCTCGGCCTGGTGGTGGTCGATGAGGTACGAGCTCCATTTTAATAAAATGTGTTTTAGATCTGACAATAAAGGTCGCGATGGGAGGCTTCATGCCAACTTTTGTCGTCCATATGCAGCTTCACATGTTGGGCGATGGCAGCAGAGGGGCTGTTATTGAAATGACTCTGTCCAAAGTCCTCTACATGAGCAGTAAGTGTCCTCCTCTCACTTTGATCGCAGTTGTCTTGTTAAAACCGTTTGAGTAAATGATCCTTCTCTGCTCTTTTCCAGAAGCTACTCAGATTATTGGGATGAGCGCCACTCTGGGAAACATCGAAGACCTGCAGACATTTTTAAGGGCTGAAAATTACACCAACGATTTCAGACCTGTGGGTATTTTTCAAAGCATGCTGTAGTGTTGTAAACTGTTGGACTGACATGTTCCTTCATTCTATAACTATAAACTGTACCTGCCACCGTGACTCTCAGTAAAACGGTTCTCTGATCAGGTCCAGCTGAAGGAGTACGTTAAACTGCAGGACACGATCTATGAAGTGGACCAAAAGGAAGAGGAATGTTTTAGATTCTCACGTCCTCTCAACTTTAAGGTAAGTTCAATGTTAACATAGTGTATTTTTACAATAATAATAACATTTTATAGTCATTTTATATGTCAGGTCAAGTATACAACGGAGGACAGAGGGTGTCGTAGGTTTTATCGATTTTAAAGCCCCCTGTGATTGATGACCACATCTGGTGACCAGCCAGCTTTGTCCTGCGTTCTCCTGACTTCATACTTCAGAGTCAAAGGTTTTGTATCTCTGTATATTCTCACACAGAGAGTGAGCCGACAGATTTCTCCATCAGGAACAAGCACTGAGAAAATTGTTAGCAAAAACTGAACTCGGGCAAAAGTTTCTTTATGAAATATTAAAATTCTGTTTTACATTTTGAGTTTATTTTAAAGCATGACATAATGTGTAAAACCTGGACTGCAGGTAAAGATGGTGCTGATAAAGTTCAAACAGGAATGATCTCCTAGATCCATATCAGTCTAGTTTAAAGAGTGGCCTCTCCACTGAATCTGCTCTGTTGTCTGTGATAGAAGTCCTAAGGTCAGCTAAAGCTGCAGCCCAGTCCTCTGATCTTATCCTGCTTGACCAATCCGCCGTCTTTGACACAGTCAATCACAGGATCCTGCTATTCGCACTCGCAGCAATGGGCATCTCGGGCAAATCACTCTAGTGGTTTGAATCCTACCTCTCCGAGCATTCCTACAATGTGTCGTGGCAAGGACAATTGTCCTCCTCATTGCCTCTACTGGGGGGGTGCCCCAAGGCTCAGTTCTAGGGCCCATTCTGTTCTCATCAGAGCAGGGGTGTCCCTCTCTAACGTCAACAAGCTGTAATGTAATGTAAATGTAAAGTAGATTACTACAAATGATTCTAACAACATGTGTGATCTTTGTTATGTCCCTCAGTACTCAAGTGCGATGCAGAAGATCGACCCGGACCACATCATCGCTCTGGTGACTGAAGTCATTCCAACACATTCATGTCTGGTTTTCTGCCCCACCAAGAAGAACTGTGAGAACGTGGCAGGGATGATCTGCAAATATCTGAAAGAGTAAGTGAAGCAGCCGACTGAGGTATGCTGCTCCTCTGCAGCCAGTTCTCAGTGATTCAGTGTGGTTTTTGTTGACGTCTCAACTCTTTCAGGGAGTTCCTCCGACTCAGGGAGGCAGAGAAGGCCGTCCTCCTCAGAGAACTGAGGGACAGCGGGAATGGCTCGGTGTGTCCGGTGCTCAGGAAGACGGTGCCGTATGGTTTGGCCTATCACCACAGCGGACTGACCTCCGAGGAGAGGAAACTGGTGGAGGAGGCCTATTCCAACGGGGTCCTCTGTCTCCTCACCTGCACCTCCACACTGGCTGCAGGCATCAACCTTCCTGCTCGCAGGTTAGCCCCTGACTGGGCTTCTGAAAAGGGCAGGGGAGACTCTACTTTAGCCAATAGTTAGCCGTGTTTGACACTTAAATAAGCCCATTTTACACCCCAGAAATTGAGCTTTTAGAATAGAGACATTCCTTTTCCCCGATGCTGTCACTACATGATTCAGGACCATTAAACTGTGGTTCCCAACCTTTTTGCCCTGTGGTAACTTGTGTGTTTGAGTTAAGGAGTGGACTGATTGTCCAAATTGTTTAATTTGAATTCATTTAAAAGGTAACCTTTGCACTAAAGAAAAAGTCAAAAAATAAATAAGTCTGTTTCTGCTTTACTTTCCAATTCACCATCTTGTGACCTTGGATATATTTGGATCCACCAGAAGGTTGAAAACCGCTGCCTTAAAGGATCAGCCTAGAGTTATTCTTTTTTCCTTCCATCTGTCCATCCATTCATCCTCAACCGCTTATGAAGGGTCAGGGTCGCGGGGGCAGCAGCTCCAGCAGAGGACCCCAAACCTCCCTTTCCCGAGCGACCGGTTCCGACTAGGGTATCTCAAGGCGTACCAGGCCAATGTGGAGATAATCTCTCCACCTAGTCCTGGCTCTTCCCCAAGGCCCCCTCCCAGTTGGACGTGCCTGGAACCAAGGGGTCATCCTTACCAGATGCCTGAACCACCTCAACTGGCTCCTTTTGAGAAGCAGCGGCTCTAGTCCGAGTTTTAGATTGAGAGCTTTGCCTTCGGGCTCGGCTCTTTTGTCGCAACAGTGCGGAGGAGCAATGGCAATACCACCGTTGCTGCTCGGATTCTCCGGCCAATCTACCGCTCCATTGTCCCCTCACTCATGAACAAGACAAGGTACAAGGTACAAAGTTGTTTATTTGTCATTATACAGCTCAAGGCTGCATAACGAAACAAAATTTGTAGTTCCTTCATGCTACACACACACACCGAAGTACTTGAACTCCTTCACTTGGGGTATTGACTCATCCCCTACCTGGAGTGAGCAGTCCATCGGTTTCCTGCTGAGAACCATGGCCTCAGATTTAGAGGTGCTAATCCCCACCCCGCCGCTTCACACTCTGCTACGAACCGATCCAGTAAGTGCTGAAGGTCACAGACCGATGATGCCATCAGGACCACATCATCTGTATAAACTAGCGACGAGATCCCAGCTCACCCCTTCCCATTCCGACTACGCATTGATATCCTGTCCATGAATATCACAAACAGGATTGGTGACAAAGCGCAGCTCTGCCGGTCATCAACCCCCACTTGGAACAGGTCTAACTTACTGCTGAGTATCTATTCACAGTTCTAGCTTTAGACCTACAGGGATTGGATAGCCCTTAAAAGGGACCCCCTCACCACATACAGCACCTCCCACAATATCCCTGGGGGACCCTTCAGGATCCTTGCAAGAGTGAAGAGCTGGTCCGTCATTCCACAACCAGGACGGAATCTGCGTTTTTCCTCTTCAACCCAAGGTTCAACTATCGGCAGAACCCTCCTCTCCAGCACTTTGGAGTGGACTTTACCAGGGAGGCTGAGAAGTGTGATTCCCCTGTAATTAGCACACACTCTCTCTTCCCCCTTTTTGAACAGGGGAACCACCACCCCAGTTTGCCACTCTCTAACGAAGTCCCCGACTTCATAACATATCCTGGAATGCCTCCTTTAGTTGGGCAGCTTACCTGACCACATTTCCACCATGGTGCTTGAAGGATATCACCCTTTTAAGGCACTTAAGACCTTTAGACCACAGTTCTCCACTGCAGCTTCAGCAATGGAAACTTTGAACATTACCCACTGAGGTTCAATGCCCCCCACTTCCACAGGGGTGCTAGAAAACATCTGCCTGAGGTGTGAATTGAAGATCTCTCGGACAGGGGCCTCTTCAAATGTCCCCAGTTCACCCACACTACCCGTTTGGGCTTACCAGGTCTGTCTAGAGTCTCTCCCATCCCCTGACCCAACTCGCCACCAAATGGCGATCAGTTGACCATCATTGCCCCTGTGCGCGTTGAAGTCTCCCAGCAGAACAACGGAGTCCCCTACTGAAGCCCCGTACATGACTTCATTTAGGGTCTCCAAGAAGGCCAAATACTCCTAACTGCTGTTTGTCTCTACCATAGAAGGCGTGCTACTGGGATTTAGGAGTTCCTCAAAGTGTTTCTTCAATCTCCCAATTACCTCCACAGTAGAGGGTACAGTGCACAGTGCCCCACGCTGTACACAGCTTGGATGTAGGGCTGGAACGATTACTCGATAAATTTGAATCATTCGATTACTAAAAAGCATCGACACAAATTCTTTGCATCAGTGCTTCGTTTAATTCATATAACTATAGAGCGCACTGTTTCGCACGGACAGTTATTACTGTCGCTGTCAGGGACTAAACAGGCAATGAGGAGAACAGGAGTTTTTGTTGAAAATATATATATATATTTTTATAATACCCCAAAATACCAAACAATAGAAACCAAAAACTATAAAAGAGGTCAACAAAATATAACTATACTCAAAACAGCACACCACAAACAGAATATGAACCGAACAAACTGACCTAACTGAATGAGACCCAAAGGGACATATATAGTGGCTTGCCCAAACCAGTTTATAAAAATAAAATGGACGGGAACTACTACTACTACAAAGAAGTAGGAGTAGTAGTAGGAGTAGTAGGGGTAGTAGGGGTAGTGGTAGGACAGACCTCTCCTCAACATGATAACACAAGAAGGAACATGTCACCCAGTGCAGCAGTGAGGCTCACTGATGGTTTCTGGACAACTGAGCTTTATGGCGCCGAGGAATTAGAGACATCACACACAGGACTCTTTAGGAGATACATTCGCTGCTGGTTTGAGTCTGAACATGAGATTTATTGACAAGAAGGAAAATGTAGAATAACTCCAGAAAGCTCCATTAAAGGACCATACTGGTGTTACTGCAAGTGGTAAAGTACTGCTTTAATACTTTATTTAATATAAAAAAAGTGTAATGAGTCTGTGTGTCGTGAGGTGATAAACTGAGTCTTTGACCTTGGTGTCCTCCAATCAGAGTGATTCTGCGCTCACCGTACGTGGCCACGGACTTCCTGAAGAGGAGCCAGTACAAGCAGATGGTGGGTCGGGCGGGTCGAGCAGGGATCGACACTGTTGGGGAGAGCATCCTCATCCTGCAGGACAAGGACCGAGACATGGTGACTACACTCGCAGCAGCTCACTAAATACAGGACAGGCACCACTGAACAGCTGGTTCAGGTTTTATAAAGGCGAGGACATGATTAGGACTGATGGGACCATGATGGACTGGGAAATATTCACATTTGAGAGGCCAGAACCAGATTATTTTTGGCATTCTTGCTTAAAACAAAAAGGCGATTGACAATGAATTTGCTAACTAATCGTTTCAGCTCTGGAGGAGATCAGTAAAAGAAGTCCCTCACACTTCACAACCCTAAAGATGATTTTATACGTTCGTTCTGTTCTTTCACATCTTTCTGTATTTTGTGTGTTTCAGGCTAAAACACTTGTGTGTGCCCCGATGGAAAACTGCTTCAGCAACCTGATGCACGACGATGGGAAGGGCATCCTGAGTCTGATCCTGTCCCTCATCGGATTAAATGTAAATCCCTCTGTGGTTTTTATTTCCAAACATAAGCACATTACCACAAGGCAGATACAGTATCTCACAAAAGGCAATACACCTCTCACATATTAGTAAATATTTGATTATACCTTTTCATGTGACAACACTGAAGAAATGACTCTTTGCTGCAGTGTAAAGTAGTGAGTGTTCAGCTTGTATAACAGTGTAAATTTGCTGTCCCCTCAAAATAACACATCACACAGCCATTAATGTCTAAACCGCTGGCAACAAAAGTGATGACACCCCTAAGTGAAAATGTCCAAATTAGGCCCAATTAGTTATTTTCCCCTCCCCGGTCTCATGTGACTCATCAGTGTTACAAGGTCTCAGGAGTGAATGGGGAGCAGGAGTGTTAAATTTGGTGTTCTCGCTCTCACACTCCCTCATACTGGTCACTGGAAGTTCAACATGGCACCTCATGGCAAAGAACTCTGAGGATCTGAAAAAAAGAATGGTTGCTCTACATAAAGATGGCCGAGGCTATAAGAAGACTGCCACAACCCTGCAACTGAGCTGCAGCACGGTGGCCAAGACCAAACAGCGGTTGTACAGGACAGGATCCACTCAGAACAGGCCTCGCCATGGTTGACCAAAGAAGTTGAATGTACGTTCTCAGCGTCATATCCAGAGGTTGTCTTTGGGAAATAGACGTATGAGTGCTGCCAGCATTGCTGCACAGTTGAAGGGGTGGGGGGTCAGCCTGTCAGGGCTCAGACCATACGCCGCACACTGCATCAAATTGGTCTGCATGGCTGTCGTCCCAGAAGGAAGTCTCTTCTAAAGATGATGCACAAAAAAACCCGCAAACAGTTTGCTGAAGACCAGCAGGCTGAGGACATGGATTGCTGGAACCATGTCCTGTGGTCTGATGAGACCAAGATAAACTTATCTGGTTCAGATGGTGTCAAGCGTGTGTGGCGACAACCAGGTGAGGAGCACAAAGACAAGTGTGTCCTGCCTACAGTCCAGCATGGTGGTGGGAGAGTCCTGATCTGGGGCTGCATAGGTGCTGCATGAATGTCAACATGTACTGTAACATACTGAAGCAGAGCAGGATCCCCTCCCTTCAGAGACTGGGCCACAGGACAGTATTCCAACATGATAATGATCCCAAACACCTCCAAGACGACCGCTGCCTCGCTAAAGAAGCTGAGGGTAAAGGTGACGGACTGGCCGAGCATGTCTCCAGACCTGAACCCTACTGAGCATCTGTGGGGCTCCTCAAATGGAAGGTGGAGGAGAGCAAGGTCTCTAACATCCACCAGCTCCGTGATGTCGTCATGGAGGAGTGGAAGAGGACTCCAGTGGCAACCGGTGAAGCTCTGCTGAACTCCAGGCCAAGAGGGTTCAGGCAGAGCTGGAAAATAATGGTGGCCACACAAAATCTTGACACTTTGGGCCCAATTTGGACATTTTCACTTAGGTGTAATCACTGTTGTTGCCAGCGGTTTAGACATTAATGGCTGTGTGATGTATTTTTTTGAGGGGACAGCCAATTTACACTGTTATACAAGCTGCACACTCACTGCTTTACATTGTAGCAAAGTGTCATTTCTTTAGTTTTGTTACTTTTGTGAGATACTGTACACAAATCAGTGCTGCTGTGCTGCAGATCACCACGTCAGAGGATCAGCTGAGAGAGTTCCTGGGTGGGACGCTGCTGTACGTCCAACAGAAGCGGATGTGTGTGGAGAAGAGTCTGTGGGAGGTGGTGCAGCAGTGCGTCCACCTCCTGAAGGAGAAGGGCCTCATCACTGTGGCTCCAGACGCTAATGGTCAGACTCTACAGGTCACCAAGCTGGGAAAGGCTACGTACAAAGGTGAATAACTGTCACGTCTGTAAGGGTTTAAATTCAGAGACGCACTTTAGAGATAAATATTTAGTCCAGATGGAAATATACTGTAGTTGTTGGATGAATTGTCATGACATTTTGTTCAGACATTCATGTTCCCCTCAGGAAGAATCCTACTGACTTTTCATGTAGAATCACCATCACAGTTACTGAGCCCAGAAACCTGCAAAAGGCAGAAACGTCAAAAATCTAACTGAATCGTCAGGTCCAACACTTTGCTTTACGACCAAATACCTGCAGTACTGATGACATTCCCATCAGCCAGCTGTACGCTACTGCTAATCGGCTAATGTTGGCATAGAGTTTTTCCTCCGGCATCAGTGTAGTTAGTTAAACAGTTGATGTTTGAGTGCAGCTCTGACTTGTGTCCGTCCGGCGTCCTCAGGCTCCGTGGATCTGACCTACAGTGACGTGCTGTACAAAGACCTCTCTAAAGGTCTGGAGGGTCTGCTGCTCAACAGCTGCCTCCACCTGGTCTACCTGGTCACACCGTACGACATGGTTTCACAGTGTAAGCCCGACTGGATGACGTTCTTCAGACAGGTAGGAAGTCACTGTCAGACATCACGAAGTCACTTTGTCACAGCTCGCTGGAAACACGTCAGTTGTGTTTGTTGCAGTTCACCCTGCTGTCGGCTGCAGAGCAGAAGATGTCTGCAGCCGTCGGAGTGCCGGAGAGTTTTGTTGCTAGAAAAGCTGCAGGACAGACGGTGAAGAAGGTAAGAAGATTCTCCCACAGCAGGTTCAGCACTTCCCTCGATCAGCAGCTGAACCTTTGTGTTGTTTCCACCCGGTTACTGAGCTCTTGTGGGGGGGAAGCAGCTGGTGTCCTGGTGGCGCTAACCCACACGGTGTCTTGTTGTTGTGTCTCAGAGCGTGAACATGGAGGTGGCGAGGAGGATGTACCTGGCCCTGGTGCTGCTCTCCTTACTGAAGGAGACCAACCTGTGGAGCGTGGCCGACAAGTTCCAGCTGAGCCGAGGCTTCGTTCAGACTCTGCTCAGCTCCTCCTCGGCCTTCTGCTCCTGCGTGCTGCACTTCACAGAGGTTTCACCGCCACTAACGTCTGGTATAAACTGCCTCCTCTGTGTGTGTGCGCACATTATCACTGATCCCAGGTCTGTTAAATCTGTCTGTGATCAGGAGCTGGAGGAGTTCTGGCCGTTCAAAGCTCTGCTGACGGAGCTGACGCGAAGGCTGAGCTACTGTGTGAAGGCTGAGCTCATCCCTCTGATGGAGGTGGCTGGAGTCATGGAGGTCAGTGTGGAGGTTCATGTATTCATCACAAGTCTGAGAGGAGGGAATCGTCTGAACGTTCTGCTGCTAATTTTAGATTGAGGAGTAAAACATTTTATTATTACATCAACAGAAAATCGGTCATGTATTTTGATAATCAGATAATCGTTAACATTTACATTTTGACATTTATTCATTTAGCTGACGCTTTTATTCAAAGCGACTTACAATTGCTATACATGTCAGAGGTCGCACGCCTCTGGAGCAACGAGGGGTTAAGAGTCTTGCTCAGGGACACAATGGTGGATGTCTCACAGTGGGGGATTGAACCCGGGTCGCAAAACTGGGTCTCTCACACCACAGGCAGGCGTCTTATCCATTGCGCCATCGCCACCCCCTAAAGTTAAAGTTAAAGTTAAAGTTAAAGTTAATTATCAAATGCACACATGGTCAGACATTGCTGGTTCCAGCTTCTCACATGAGAAGTTTCTGCTTTTCTCTGTTTTAGACTGTTCGGTCCGATAAAACAAGACGTTTGATGAGGTCAGCAAAGGTTTCTGTTTTCTGACAAATTTCTAATTAAATGATGGTGCGCAGATGAATCCTTTTATAAACATAATTGTTATTTTGCAGCCCTGAAATCAGCTTTTGAAAATACATTTTTCAGGAGTGAAGGACTGTTTTACCTGCAACTAAATAGTTACTAGTTAATTTGTCTGTCTGTCACATTATATTTAACTTTTTATCTTATTGTTCACACTGAAGGTAGATTATGTTTTAGTTTACAAAGGTGTTTTGCTTGTAGTTATAGATGACAGAAATAACCGGTTCAGATGTTTGGCCTTGAAATAGATCAGGTCATTAGATAAGTTAAGAGAATATTGACTTTTTTGCATAATAAATGCTCATATAAAATAAACAGCCCAGTATCACTATTTTTTCCGTGGTAATACTGGAAATACTTTATTCTCTAAAGTGCACATGGGAAACAGCACCATCTAGTGGACTGAAAAAGTGAGATGAACAAGCAAGAAATTTATCATTTTAGATTACATTTATTCATTTAGCTGACGCTGGTCACAGTGGGGGATTGAACACAGGTCTCTCGCACCGCCATCAAGGTGATTAATTGCAATATATCGTAATATGTGTAAAATCCCAATAATATCGCATCCCGACTTAATTATTGTGACAATATCGTATCGTGGCGCCTCTGGTGATTCCCATTCCTAATAAAATTGTTACTGACATAAAAATATATTTATATAATTTAATGTGATTTCCATTTCCAGAGGATCTCATTTTCTCTGATGTCCATCCAGAACAAATGTCCATAAATCCACTTAGAAGAAAGACTCTGCAGAACCTGCCTGAGAAGTTTTCTTCAGTTTCACAGTAATCCAGTGATGTCTGTCTGCACATCCATGCTAACTGCTAACAGGAGCTGCTAACAGCTGATTCAACTACTTTTGATGGAGAAACTTTGACTAAATGTGAACAAATGAAGACTAAAAATCACAACAGCACATCTGATCAGCTGTTGTTGTTCCTTCCCTCCAGGCGAGAGCGAAGCAGCTGTATAACGCTGGCTATAAAACGCCGACTCACCTGGCGAACGCTGACCCTGCTGTTCTGTCCAAGACGATAGAAAACCTCTACAAGAAACAAGCCGAGCAGATAGTGGCCTCTGCTAAAGTGAGTCCTGTTCACATGTCCTCAATGCTGCGTGGGTTTGAAGATGACACAATGATTAACGTGTGGACTGTTTGTGTCTATCAGATGATGTCTCTCTGTGTTCCAGATGCTTGTGAATGAAAAAGCTGCAGCTCTGCAGGAGGAAGTGGACGACCTGCTGATGATGCCTTCAGATCTGCCCACAGTTTCAAACACAGAACTCCTTTGAGTTCATTTATTACAGAGAAGTTTTATTCTCTTTGGAAACTTTGCTTTTTATTGTTTCATTTGTTTGAAATATACATCTTATTAAAATAATGTAGGAGAAGGACTCAGCTATATTTTTGTGTCAGCCAGTGATGTGAAGGCTGTAATACTGGAGCTGAAAGGTCTCTGGAGTATTAAGGTGACCTTCAAATGTGTTTTCACTAACAAGTCTCTCCCACACACACACAGAAGATGTGTAAATGCCTCTGTAGCTCAAATTAAATTCTCAGGTTCACTATTTACATGTTTGCCCACATGTAGCAGAGAGCTTGTCTGGGTTATTGTTGGTGGGATGTGGCGTCTGCACTCTCTAGTTGTAGCTGAACCAGCTACCCTTCATTGGAATCAGGTGTACTGATGCAGTCGCAGCAAAGTGTTGCTGACTTTAACAACAAAGATAAACTCTGTTCACCATTGAACTTGTAATATGAGTTAAATGTTCAGGTGTGCAGCATTTTGCTACGGTTTCCAGGTTAAACATGTTTCTTTGAAACGGTGTTTTGAGGTAGTTTCCTCTCGTTTGGTGGGCGTGTCAGAGGTGTTACCCAATCAGCAGTCACGTGTATATAGTCATTTTAAAAAGACAGTGCAGTGAGCTGGCGTTTACAACAGGGTGTTCACTAAAGCATTGTTTCTGTTTAAATGAATGTTCTGCTACGTTTTGTCAGGACTGAACTAGGGCTGAAACGATTTATCGATTAAATCGATTCATAAAATGCTTCGTTTAATCCATGTAACTATACAGCACAGTGTTTCGCACCTACATTTATTACTGTCGCTCATCGCTGTGAAAAGGACTTGATTATAATGGAGCTGTTTGCAAAGTGACAAAGAGACAGAAAATAGCGAGGGACAAAGAAGAAAGTGTCCAAAGTATGGGATTATTTCAAGATAAAGAAAACAACAACTCTGTGAAGTCACAGTCCGTCCACCGTAAAACGAAACTTATGTTTCCTTGTCAACAGCACGACGGCAGCTGAACAAAAAGCCGGACCACAGACAAGGTCACAGTAACAGCAACTTTAGCATTGAACTGAAACCAGGATTGATTGTTGAGTTGAAGCCAAAGTAAGCCGCAGTCCTCAGCTGAAAATGTGCACACGTGCGTTTGTTCTCCTTTTTGGGCCGTGAGTTGTGACCTCACAGTCAGGAGTTAATGTCGGGAGCTGCACCTTTTAACTCACCTCCAGCTCTCTGTAGCTCAGACAATCCCTGCTGCCTGCGTGTGCTGATCCATCCTTAACCCAGATTCTTTGTCTTTATAACTGTTATCTTTATAATAACTAACAACAGCTGTTTTGTGTGCAGGATCGCTCATTTCCCGTTTCACATTTCACGTGTACTTTCTTTGTACATTGACAATACTGTAATCTATCCTTCTTCACAGGTTAAAAGTTTGGGTGTCATCATGGATAGCACACAATCCTTTGAAGCTCAAATTAATAATATCACGCGGATCGCATACTTGCGTAATATTAACCGTCTCCGCCCCTTTCTTTCAAATAATAATACTGCAGTTCTTATTCGTGCACTGGTCACTTCACGTACTGTAATCCTCTTTTCACAGGTGTTCCCTCCAAATTGCTACATAAGCTTCAGTTAGTTCAGAATTCTGCAGCTCGTGTTCTTTCTAGAACTCCTTATACTGAGCACATTTCTCCAGTTTTTCAGCGATTGCACCGGCTTCCAGTAAAGTATAGAGTTGAATTTAAGATCCTGCTACTTACTTATAAGGCACTTCATAATCTTGCATCCCAATACCTTACACAACTTCTCCATGTTTACACCCCTTCACATGCTCTCAGATCTTCATCTTCAATTTCTCTTGTGGTAGCTTGGATTCGACTAAATACCATGGCTGCCAGATCTTTTAGTTATGCTGCCCCCCGCCTATGGAACTCTCTTTCCCTTGATGTTCGCAATAGCGACTGCTTGTTGACTTTTAAAACGCATCTTAAGACACGTGTTTTTATACAAGCTTTTTTATAACATGTACTGAGTTTCTAATGCATTTTATCTGTATGCGGCTTGTTTGTTGTGTGTATTGTTTTATGTAGTGATCTGTATATTGTTTGTGAGGTGACCTTGGGTGTTATGAAAGGCGCCATTAAATAAAATGCATTATTATTATTTTCTTGACAAAACATGGTTTGGAGACCAGCGCCGCCGCCAAGCAAAAGTACTTCTTAAACGACGCATCGATGAATCGTTGAAATAATCTATCGAAGCTTCGAATACTCAAATCATCGTTAGCTGCAGTCCTAGACTGAACGTAGAGGTCTATGGAAGTGTTTGGACATCACACAGATCAGGGGCACGTTAAATCTGAAAACTGTGTGCAACGTTTTTCTGAAGTTTCTGGGTTCAACAAAATTACATTAGAAGACATGTTTGTTGACTTTTATTTAGTTTTTCATATACACTGTATAGTTTTCCATAACCCCTCTTTATCTTGTGTTTTTTGAAAGCATGTCAACATTATACAGTAGTTATATAATTAGCTTAATTGGTAACAGATGTGCTCCCTTTCTGTCTCAGTCTTCTGAACAGGTTAATTCACTGAATCCTCGAGCTCCACTAGCTCCACATTCCTGTGGCACCACTGAATGTGTCTCTTGCTGGACAATCACCTGCCTCTGCTCCAAAGTCGGCACCAGTCAACAACAAATTCATAACAGTACATTTTCAGTTTATTCCTCTTTCCTGACAACAGTTTAAGCACCGATTTATTTTCACTGATTCGTCCTTTTATATGTGTGATGTATATACAAAGCAGCCTTGCTTGCATCAGCTTTTGTGTAATGAAGCAAATGGCAAGACATCTGATTGACATGAAGTCCAGGTCCAGGTGGAGGAGGTGGCTGAGTGTGGAGCAGAAGGAGTGGAGGAGTCTCAGTGTGTCTGCAGAGACTGTGTAGAAGGACAGAGCAGCAGCAGAGCAGTCCAGATCCACTGATGATAATCTGTCACATCCAGAGGAACACACAGGGATGATGGTGGACTTGACTTTGTGTCTGACAGTGGAGCTGATCTCAGAGCAGTTCAGACTGCAGCACTGTTGGGATTCCTCTGTCAGTCACTGCTGGATGAAGCTCTCCTCTCCACTCTACCTCCCAGTAACATGGCCCAGTCAGAGCCTCTCCACACACAAGCTGATGCTGCTGCTTCAACCTCTCTGGATCATCAGGACACAGCTGATCCTCTCTCAACACCTCCACCTTTCTGATCACTCACTCTCACTTCTTCCATCTGATGAGAGAAGACAGACAGCAGACGTCATGATTCAGAGTTTACAGAGACTCCCTTCATCAGCTGTCAGTCAGTGATGCAGCACATCCAGTATAAAGACCAGCAGAGACTTCAGTCCTGTTCAGACCAGAAGTGGAGCGGCTGTGTAGCGTAGCCAGCTTCCTTTCAGCTCTCATGTTATCGTATTGGACTGAACACACTGAGACCTGCAGAGACTTTGGCCATCAGCTCTGTTTACTCTGCAGGTTTCACTCAAGTCCACAGTGGAAATAAAGTGCTGAGAGTCCCTGAACGCATCATGACTGCAGAGACAGAGAGATATTCACTGCTCACTGTAATGATGGATTTACTGCTGAAAAACCAGCCGCTCAGTCACATTTGAAGATTTCATCTACTTCTGAAATATTACAGGACAAATCTGTAAATATGGAGTCTGTCCTAAAAATATTTGGACCAAACTAAAGACACATGGACAGATATATATATGATGTTAAAGGTCCTACATGTTCATACAAAGACTGAACAGCTAAACATCAGCTGTGCTTACTGGACTTCAGCAGAGGTTCTAGTCTGTAGAAAGACCACATGGTTACTAAATGTAATGATGGTTCTCTGAAATAAGATTCAGTGATTTGCAGGCTTCAGTCAGACTGATCTCAGAGCTGTGACAAAGATGAACTGATCAGTAGTTTAGTGTTGAAATGAGAGAACAAACACTTTGAGATCAGATTTGATGGTACGACAGTTTGATGAATGAGGACCACTGTCTCTATACATGTCTATGAAGATTCTCAGTCATCCAGGTCATAGTTATCCAATGAAGGTTAAAATCAAGGGCAACAGGACTTGGTTGATCTGATTGGCTGCCTGTTACAGGGGCGATTTTAGACCATTTTCTTCCAAGCACCCCTAAAAAAATAATACAATAACTTATTAATATTTTCTGAAAATTATTTTTTGTCTTCTAACGTTAGATTTTGGAGAAGCAAGAGAAGGGACAACCAATTAGCCCACAGTTTCATAAGGCTTTTCTTACATTATTATTATTACTTATGATTTAATGTCCCTAAATACTGACATTTTTCAGTTTCTAATTTTAGTTTTACTGAATGATCCGCGACTGCGCTGGCAGACCTGTCTGCTTCAGCGGAACGCTGTCAGTCTGAGCCAAACTAATACTTTCAATATTGAAGGCGGATACGAGCGGCCCCTCCCAAATTGGACTGATCCTCGTTTTTGCTGAATTCTGAATGGCTGTGTGCTGAACTCAGCCTAGGGTTGTGTGACAAGTGCATCAAAGACGGTAACTATTGCGAAAAGAAAGAAAGAGAAAAAAGAAATGTGTGGTGCTAGAATAAGAAAGAATTAAGAAGAAAAAGATGTCGGCACAAGAGGCAGAAGTATTGAACTAATGTAGTAATGCATGCAATAAGCAAGGAATCTTTGTGTGTCTGTATGTATATTAGCTATTAAGGTCAGTGGTGGTGATGCAGAGGGACAGGCTGATGATGACCCCAGTCATGTTGATGAGGAGGGAGAGAAGAAAGAGGAGGAGCAGCAGGAGCCACAGGATGAGGACAATGGAACCAGAAAAAACAGTGACAGGTACTGGGGCAGTGCAGGGCTAACTAGGCAAAATGATTTACGAGCACAGTGTGCGAGTAAAAACTACAACCTACCGTAATTGTTCCCCAAAAGTATTTGAATGGGAAGGCAAATTCCTTTGTTTTTGTTGTTCACTGAAGACATTTGGGTTTAAGATCAAAAGATGAGTCTGAGAGTTCAGAATTTCAGCTTTTGTTTCCTGGTATTCACATCTAGATGTGTGAAACAACTCAGGACAAACATTGAGCAGAGCAAGCACAATAATTTGGAATGTCCTGAAAAAGAAATAAACTACTGGTGTACTGAGCAACAGACGTCCAACAGGTCATAACAAGGAAAACAGTAGCTGAGAAAAATATGGTGAGAGCTGTGAAGAAAACCCCCAA